TACTTCAGTAATGAACACTTGTACAGCATCCACAGACTGAGACTTTTCATGCAATAGATAGAGATAACAATAACGTGAATAATCGTCAATAAAGGTAATGAAATACTTTTCACCTCCAAAAGATGGAACGTCAAAAGGTCCACAAATATCTGTATGTATGATTTCAAGAAGCTGTGTACTTCTTGTGACACCTTTCTTTGTGTGTTTAGTTTGCTTACCCTTAATGCAATCTACACACTCTTTATTGTTGGTAAAATCAAGATTTGGAATGACTCCATCTTTTACCAACCTTTTTATTCTTTCGCTGGAAATATGTCCCAACCTTTTATGCCACAAGAAATATGAATCTTTCGCACATGTTTTTCTTTTAAGTTCATGATTACCATGCAGGGTGAGATGTGTTTCGGAAGATTGATCAGCCAATATTAACATATAAAGACCATCAACTAATTTTCCAAAACCAATTCGATTAGATTTCATAAATAAATTGAAACAACCATCTCTTTGAGTTGAACTAAAACCAGCCAAATCAAGTTTGCTTAATGAAACTAAATTACGGGAAATAGATGGAACATAAAGAGTCTGAAATAAATCCAAACAAAATCCACTATCCAAAATGAGACGATAAGTGCCAATAGCTTCAACTGGCGCTTTGTCTCGATTCCCCATAAACAAGTAGTTTTCACTTGGATTTATGGTCTGGGTTGTAAGGAATCCCTGCAAGGAATTGGTTACATGTACATTAGCACCACTATCAATCCACCAAGTTTTAGAAGAAACATGAGTAAGATTAGATTCGAAAAAGCTTACGAAACCCATAGGATTACCTTTCTTTTCAAACCACTCTTTTCTTTTAGGGCAATCTTTCTGAAAGTGGCCAGACTTCTTGCAGAAGTTGCATCTATCATCTTTCCTTGCCTTTTTCTTCTCGTTACCTTGATTAGAATCATTCATTCTGGGTTGTGCTCTTTTATGGCTCACTTGATGCCTTTTCCCAGCATTAGGTACAGCTCCATGGGCATAATGGGCAACTTTTATACCTTCACGGTCAAGTCTAGACTCCTCTTGCACCAACTTATTAGCCAATTCATTAGACGTCCACTTTTGAGTTATGGCGTTGTAATGAATTTGGAATGGTCCATACTGAGGAGGTAAAGAGTTTAGGATAAACTGGACAAGAAATGAATCATCCACACTCATTCCTAAACCCTTAAGCTTAGCCGCAAGGTTAATCATATCCATGCAATGATCATGCATAGACCTTGTGCCATCATGCTTCATAGTTGTAAGATCTGCCATAAGTTTCCCAGCAAGGGATTTGTCTGCAGTCTTAAACCGTTCAGCTAGTGTATCAAGATAAGCCTTAGCCTTTTCACTAGGTGGAAGGGAAGATTTGATGTTACTAGCAACTGTCATCCTAAAGAACATAATGCTCAGTCTGTTCGATCTCTCCCAAGCCTTATGGAGAATCTTTTCTGCCTCACTACTAGTGTCAGTAAGTGGACCTGGCTCCTCTTCACGAAGTGCCAAGTCCAAATCTAGTACTCCTAATGTGAACTCAACTTTCTCTTTCCATTCTGAGAAGTTGGTTCCATTGAGGGTTGGAACACCAGAGACCATGGATGACAAGTTATCGGGAAAAGATGCTGTAAAATTTTCAGAGATACAATAAGTTTTCGATTAGGCTTCAAAACATAATCAACACATAAGTTTCAATTATAGAATAAACATGAAGTAAATTATGATGTTCCTGTGGGTAACCACCATAATCTCATTATAATCATGCTGTTAAACAAATTGAGTAATGTATTAACTTAATTAGATTAAGTTATCTGTGGATATCCTTAATCTACACATATACATACTCATAATTCTTTTATATAATGATTTCATGATTTCATTATGCAAAGCTTTATAAGGAAAGGTCACTGTGGTGAAATCCAAACCTAATTATGCACTCTTATTGAAATCAGATTTCTGTACGAATTATGCACAGATTGTTTGTGCACGAATTATCACAAAATTAATTTGCCCAGATTATGAACAGAACGATTATGTACACATTATCACATATAAAATTTTGCACGAATTATGTACGAAAGCGATTATGTAAAAATTATCACAGAATAAAATTTGTACGAATTATGCACAAAACGATTATGTACGAATTATCACAGAATAAGTTTGCACCAATTATGCACAGAACGATTTAATATGATGTACGAGTTTTGCACATATCTGTTTCTCTGATAAAACATAATTCAGAAACACACGAATTTTGCACGCACGAATAAACTAAGGTTTTATCTTTAAGAAACCTAATTCCAAAGACCCGAATTATGCACGCCCGAATTTTTCACATACTTTCAAAAAACCCGAAATTTGCACAGAAAAATCAACTATAGATTTATATATGCAGGTCTCTAATTTTATCATACTTAATGAATTAATCATATGCTTATAACCATGCTCTGATACCACATGTAAGTGCAATTTACATGAACCCTAAGATCTTTTAAGCAACATGATTAATCACATAATAAAACTGTAAAGGAGGGTTAGCAGAGTACCTCCATTCATTGTAACTGAGATTCTTGATGAACGGTTTCCTGAAGTATTGATCTAGGTGATTAGGTTTCTCTCCCCTTGCCTATAAACTTACTTTATGTGTTGTGTTTGTGATTTCTTTTTGGATGCCTTTATGATGGACTAAAGGCATATATTTATAGGCGGAGAGAGGACCTAGTTCCTCTTTAGGGTTTCCTTAAGATTTAATCTCAACCGTCCATCAAGGTAGAGATTGATTAGGAAAAACTTCATCATTATCTATTTAATTAGTTACCAAATATATTAAAGAATAACATTATTCCATAGAAAACGGATAACTACAAGACCACATAATAGGGGAAGGAAATATTCCTTACAAAGGAATCAATCATCCACCGTCATCGTCTGGTCCCCGATCAGATGTTATGTGGAGGAGATATCACTACTGCTGGTCCAGGTACCCTTGCCATGGCTAACCATGGTTACAGAGACCAACTCACGAATCTCAGTTCATGATTGCATGAAGAGAATCTTTGGAAACGATATTGAGCACTGAGAAAGAGGTCCAAACTCCTAGCAGCACACCTTCTTTCGAGCCCGTGGTGATCGCCAACTATTCATGTTTTGGTAGGTGTGTGGGTTTTGTTCCTCGTTTGGTATTTTTCATCGAGTTTAGATTGGCTACCTTCGAATAATGATGCGTCTATCTTTTTGTACAATGACTCATTCGATGGCTTTGCTTTCTTGTTTAGCATTATGTATAATTAGGTTCTTTAATTTGTAATGTTTTTCTGTTAAGTGATAACTATAGGAGAGAATATCCTACTCGGTAATTAATTCTGCTAAGTTTCTTTTTAATATTCTACATAAGTAGTGAACAAAGTACATATTTTGAGTGGCTCTGATCAAACAAAAAAGAAGAATATATAAAAGATAGAAAGAAAGAAAAAAAACGAAAGGGGACAAAGCCTATAATTATAGGTTGGCATTTTCTGAAAACTGACTGATCTGTTTTATTATATACTAAAAACCTATCAAGATAATCAAATATTGAACCAAACTAAATCAAGTTAAAAAAAAAAAAAAAAGAGACAAAAGAAGGTTTTAGACACTTCGAAGATGATCACGTGTAGTGTTCGGCCAACCTCATTCCATAAGCAACCCAAAGGCCGGGACAGAGAGTTAAAGAAGAACTTGTACAACTTTCTTCTTTTCACAGTTATATATTTTATGTGTTGTTTTTTTGGGTTTCATTTTCATGTATTAACAAACCCATGATATACATATTACATCATACGTTTATACCTAACTTACTATATATAGTTTATACAAATGGTTTTGCTTTAAGCTCATCAAATAAACCTCAAACTTTGCCATACTCACAAAGTGGAATAGTACAAGATTTGTGTGTTGGTTGACACGACGAATACAAAAGCCATAAAAAATCACAATCAAAAATAGGGGACCAAAGTAGGCCCAATAAGTTTGGACTCTAGAGCTTAATGAGCCCAAAACAAATTCTCAACTAAATACAAGAAGTAAATAAATAAATAAATATATTTTTAATGAAAAAAAAGACATAAGCAATGAATGTAGTGAGAGAGAGCATAAAGAGGAGTAGACCCATTGGTAGTGAAGGCAGCGACAGGTCCTGAGGTTGACACTCACCGCAATATCCTTACAGAGTCTCACATGCACTGCACTGCCTCTGCCCCCATTTATTCACATTTAGGAACCACACCACCTTCTTTTATTTTTCTTTACATATTATGCTTTTTATTTATTACCCTACCATAATGTTTCCATTCAATTCTTTCCTTCTTCTTCATGTGATTTTGAATTTTTTCCACATTATTCAATTTCTCCAATTTTTTATAGATTTGTTTTTAAGCTCTAGAATAAATGTTCTAAAACAAACCCCAACTATATGCATAATTCCTAGTCTATCACATATACACTATGCACTTGTAGTATAAAACATGTAAGGAACATACTAAAAATTTTAAAACTACTATGACACTATAATAAATACGAACGTATCCGTATGGTATTATTTATTTCTATGTATATAAATATTTTCGGATATTCTCAATATTGTTGACTCTTGTCGTAAACCTAACTATGTAGTAATTAACTAATTTCTTTACAAACAAAAAAAAAACGGTAACACACGTCACAGGGTTTAACGTTTTCGAATTGAATGCGAGTTTTATACTGCTAAATTGTGTATATTCTGCAGATTTAGAAGATAAACTGAAATTTATCGGACATTGAAACGTGTTGAGATAAAAAAAAAAAACCAACGTATGAGATCATACTATGTAATTAGGATAAGACTATCTTAATACAAATGTGGTGCAATAATAGTTACCGTCCTAGATTCGTGTGTTGAGACTTGCAAAAACGTAATACAATTTGCATCAAGAGTTTGATAATCAATCGTGTAAATGTGATGAATGAAACTGGAGTTTACATATAATGTTTGGTCCATCCCACAATCATACAATTATATTTTATATCAACTCCTTCTTTTGTTTTTTGTGTTTCTGAAATGCATAATCATAAATATAAGTAATAATGATCTCTAATAATAATAATGAAAAACCTCAAATTACATTCATTTTTTCAAACAAGCCCTCAAGGGTTTACCACAAAGACAGTCGTTAAACATAAACGACGCCGCTTCAAGGTGATCGAACGGCGAACCCACCGGGATCCTCCCACAGAGATGGTTATGGCTAAGATCCAAATGACCGATGAACGACGCACCTGAGATCGATCTCGGTATTGCTCCTTTGAGATTGTTATACGACAAATCAAGAACTGTGAAGTACGACCTTGGTCCGAATCCTTCTGGTATCTTCCCTTGTAGCATGTTCTTGCTTAAGTTCAGGTTCATCACCGACGACGTCATCAGCGTCTGAGGTATCTCTCCGGAGATTTTGTTCCCGTCGAGGTTTAGCGTTGCTAAAACCGACATGCGTCCCAGAGACGGCGGGATTGTGCCGTAGAGTTGGTTTCCGGAGAGATCCACGTCAGCTAACCGGTAGATGTTGGTTAAGGATTCTGGGATCCGACCGGTTATTCGGTTTCCGGATAACAGAGCACGGCTGAGCATTTTCATTCTCCCGATGTCCGACGGGATTACGCCGGAGATTAAGTTGTTACGGAGATCTAAATGCATTAAGCTGGAGAGATTGGTTAACGATCTCGGAATCGGACCGGAGATTCGGTTATCGGCTACGTTTAAAACAGCCAACCGGTTTAATCTACCGATGTCGTATGGTATCCCACCGGAGATTTGGTTTCCGATCAAGTCGAGTGTACGGAGAAAAGGAAGACGAGTGATGCATTTAGGGATTTCGCCGGAGATACCTTTCCAATCGGCGATTGTAATGGCGGAGAGACGGGTCAGTTCACATATAGAGGCGGAGATATGTCCGGTCATGTAACCGGTCCGGTGAGCTCTTTCGAAGATCGGATCTTCCGACTCGCCGCGGAGGTTTATGTCGGCGACTCGGTGAGTCAGCGAGTCGCAGCTTACACCGTACCAGTTGTGGCAACAGTCTTGGCCGGTCCATGAGTTGAAAATGCCGAGGTATGGCTCGTGGAGAGCTGCCCGGAAAGCTAAGAGTGCACGGCGGTCCGACGGCGGACAACATGTGGCGGATGAGATTAGAAGGAGAAGTAGTGAAACGACAACGTTCAGTTTCATTTTTTTTTTTTTTCTTGAAGATTCCTTTTTTTTCTGTTTATGACAGTGTTGGGAATTGCGACTTGATGGGTGAGGGAAGAAGATAAACGTTAATGGCATATAAATAGCGGATATCAATAAATAAAAAGAGGGAAATTTTAAATAAAATATATTTAATACTAAGAAAAAAAAGAAAAGGACAATACTTGGCTTTTTTTTATATGTAGAAGTCTACTTTTTCTTTTCTTCCCTTTTACATGAAATGATTATAATAAAAAGAATAATTCGATATGGGTATGATTAGACATTTTGGCCTCGTACAATAATGAAGGTTATGTGTTCGTGTAATCTTTGATTAATCACCAAATTCTATATCAAATTAGTCAACAACAACAGATGTCAAATTCATGTAAGACCTGGAATTAAAGAAACGAGAACGTAAAAAAGATAAATTGGTGTAACTTTTTTTGAAGCATGTGGGTTTGTTTATTAAATAACATGGGGGGATGTGTGGTTTGTAATACAGGTTGTAACAATTAACATGGCCACAAAATATGAAGAAACACACACATGGATTTTGTAATGTTGAGCACATTTAGTTTAGGATGTTAATAGAAAATAAAAAAGAAGCTTGCAGACAAATTAAGATGGAGACAGAAACTGGAAGTGGGGGAGAGTTCCCATGCAAATAATTGAAGCTACGATTAGATTTTTCCGATGGGACTTGCCGGTTGGATAAGCTTTTCTTGCTTACTTCTACTACTAGTATCGATATTTGCAGGGTCAACATGACGCCACGTGTTCGTGTTCTTGCATTTTAAGTAGTTGTTTAATCGTGTTATGAGATTGGCGATAATACTCATCTTCGAGTCGCTAAATTATTGTGGTTCTGTGACTTATGTTGACTTTATTGGTTTCTTAAAGATTAGTTTTTTTATTGGCTTTTGGATTCGGTTTAGTATCATCGCTTGGGCTAAGATTGGGCTTTCTACACATATGAGAACGTTTAGACGTTTACCGTTTATGATTTTTTCACCTTCGTTCGCGTCTGATTCAGCACCGACGGTTTTGTATTAAACGGCAGAGCCAATGACATAAACTGTGAAGTATGTTTTTTGTCATTGGCATTCATAAATGCAATTATGCGGAACATAGTAATGTCCAAAACTTTATACTCTTGTTTGAGTTGTCTATCTGTTGTCAGATCACTAATAGCTTTGTTTATTTTTACTAGTAGAGTTTCAAAGTACATCTAGGTGTTGTTGGACTAGATATTTTGCATCTGGAGGATACACTATGGTTTTAATTTAACTATATTTTACAAAGTCTACTCATTATTTTCGCTCAAAAAGAAATTACTACTACAAAGATGAGTTCAATCTTGTCCGAAAGAACTAAGGGGAAAAAAAGAATTGAGACTTTGGAGTTAAAAATCACAGCTTTGTGTGGTTTCTTTTTGTCATTGAACTTCATGATTTTTTGGCTTGTCATGCGACAACTGAGTTGTTGCGGGTATTACGTGTAAAGAAATTACAATTATTGCCTTATGGTTATGAGTATTAATCACCCACGAACTCCAAAGCGTTGGTTAGGTCGTCGCAAAGTACATTAAAACCGATATCAACAAGATAAGTGCGAAGTACAATGACATGAGCCAACTAATAGGGGAATACTAAATGAAGAGCAGATTTTGATATTTTCTTACTTGAAGCACAAAACAAACATTACAATACCTAAAACAATGTCTGTACCAAGAGCTCTCAATTGTCTTTTACAACATAGACGTAAACCAAACAAACATCTTCATGCTCGGAGCGATTCTTTTCTTCTCTACTTACTTTCTTCTTTAACCCCTTTTAAGATCTCACACAATTGTGTATATAAGACACACGGTGAACTTAGAACCTGAAAACACAGATTAAAATAACTCCATTCGCTAGGAGCTAGAAGAATCGGTTTCATTGCTCCACCAGAAGCTGACTGAGAAGCTCATTGTTAAGGACCTGACATAGTGCCACCATTTGGGAGGGATGTACAGCATTTCACCTTCTTCTAGAATACAATCCATGAACTCCAACTCCATTGCCTTTGGGAACTCAGTGTTGTCCATATTGTCCAGATCAACCTTGAAATTACCCAATTTTGGAACAGAAGAACTGAGTCAACTTCCGGTTTTATGTTTAATCCAAAACCAGATTTGACTTTGGAATGAGAAAGCTTACCTGGCTAGAGTTGCAGAGCATTGTCTCAGAGTAAGGGTAAAGTTCATCTTGCACGGAGGATGGGTAAAGCCTTATATACTTTTTGCCAACAACCTGTAGAACAGATGATACTAAAACTTCAGTGGGAGGAGAAAGCATATAAATAAATAAGTTTCCGTAAACTAGAAACTTATGAGACACTCTAATGAGGTCCAAATAAATTGCAGGCCAAACGATTTCTTTGGTTAGTCAAAGAGTCATCAGACTTCAGTCCAGCGAGATGATCAGGCTTTATTATGCAAGAACATCAAAGAAGAAAAAGGTTGTTAAACACTTACAGAACATATATATTAGACAGCGAGCACAGACAAGAAGCCATGCTCAGCTCATGTAAGGAAAAGATCTTTGACCCGTAATTACCTGAGCAAGTATATTATGATGTGGATCATGGTGTAACGGAGTGACTGTCCCAGCCGGGCCAAACCATGCATTAATAGATTGGATTTCCCCGCCACCGACAAAACAGTAATCAGGAATACATATATCATCTTTCAGTTCGTTTATCTGTCCATGGGTGTCAAATCAATTAGCATATGTTCAGTATGAGACACACCGAGTACAGAAAAACTGTATAAAACTAAACATCCTCATACATCATATATATATGTATACCTGATCAAACAATGGATGCTGGGCAAGATAAGTAGGTTCCATGGAAGAAGATCTATTGGTTTGAATCCGTTCAAGGAACTGAGAAAATGTCACAAGCTCTTGCTTCCAATCAGAACATAAATAGTTTTTCCCCACCTGAATAGCATATTAAACTTTACCAGCTTTCAGCTACGGAAAAATTATTGTGATCAAACCCATCTTCTTACTAGCTCAGACTCAGACAAGACAATGGTAGGACTCCTAACTATATGATGCAGAAGTGGCAGAGCTTATGCTCTTATCCTTCATAAAATGCAACATTATCGAACTGATTTTATGTGATAATCTAACCTAGAGATACATGTTATTTTAAGCTAGACCACAGTTCACACGAGAAGCTAAAGAAAATAAGCATTAACAGATAAACTAAGGGCAGAAACGATGGGTGGTCACCTCCACGGGAACGGTTCGGTTACCAGCAACAGCATTGAGGTAGTCCAAGTGGTTCCACTTGGTCCTGGCTGGCCAATGAGCCATGCAATTGGTTATTACAACTGGTGTACCTGACAGAAAATAATCACGCAGAAACCCCTCCAAAGATAAACCAGACCTCTTCTCTACTCTTCTACAACTTAATGACCTGCAAGGTAGAATCTTAAGCACCTGCATGTTCAACACAAAACCAAATCAAAACGAAACCATTCTAAAGGTCATGATTCTTCAAACGACACCATTCAAGAGGTTTCAAGATCTGAGCTCTACAAGTAACTTTTCAATAAGTAAAAACATGTCTCACCTCATTGACGTCGACGGGAAGTTCCGGGACCAGTTTCTCACCTTTGAAATCTCCAGAAGCTTCTTCAAGACTCTTCGTCTTCTTACGAGCTTCCGAGGAGACGAACAGAACAGAATCGTGAAGATCCTTGCGGAGAAGCATCCCTCCCATGATGAGACCCATATCAAGCGCCCCAAGCGCCTCACCAAACTCGCCGGCGGCGAAATGGATTTTAGCGACGTTGAGACAAGCCATTGAGTAAGCGTCGCGCCATACGGGGAGAACCGAGTGCCATGGACCGGAGTGAAGTTGCTCCCAAGCCATATCACGCGCCGCCTCCGCCGCGCTTTGGTCACCGGAAACAGCTAAGGCCGCCATGCGAGCATAGGCGTAACCGCCTTGAGCTGAGATGGATTGCAGCAGGGTTTGAGATTCGGCGTCTAGCGTCGGAGTAGGGAGACGGAGGTTGTTGAAGTCTCCGGAGGAAGCAGTGGTGGTTCCTGACATTGGGATGGATCGGGTCGGGTATTCGGGTCGGGTCGGGTTAAGTCTTATGTGGTGTGAGATATTTTCAAGTGATGAGTTGGGGAAAGTGTAAGCGAAAAAGTGGAAAAGGAAAGAAAGATATTTTGGAGTGATGATTAGGATCAGATATTTTCTGTATTTATAACTCTAGTCTTTTTAGTATTTAAGACGAACCCTCCAAAATCGTACAATTTATGCAATCACTCCTATCTTTTTTTATTGTCTTACATATTGTTCTTTATCTTATTTATCAAAAATGCACCTTACGCATAATATACTTGGAAATTTCTGCAAATTCTAAATTTGGTAAACCATTATCTTTAAAATACCATCTAAGAATAAATATTTCAAAAATACTACTTTTAGTAGGTAATGTAAGCTAAACCATCTTTAATGAAATTTGGGCTAAAAAACAAACATAAAACATTCCTTTTGAATCCGTTTGATAATATGTCAACATTTAATCCTTTTTGTAAGTTAAATATGTGCTTGAGATTTTAGTTTAGTTAAAATTAATCATAATGTTATGTGTTCTCAATAATCTTTACATAGATTTTAATTTTTATATAATATTTATTAAGGTTAGATTGAGTAATTTAGTTGGCGCTAAATTGAAATATATCATAGACTCTCAACTAACAATTATCACAAAAAAATGGTCTAAAATTGTGTTGATTTGGGTCAAAAAAATCAAGTGGGCCTAATGCAAAAGCATTTGCCAAATATGTTTTTTCCCTAGTGAATACAATGTGTAAATACTATCCAAATTTTATTATCTTAAAAATTGATAATTATACTTTTATATTCATCAAAACAAGATAATTCAGTTCTCAATATTTTGTTTTGGTTATGCTAGGCATATGTTTTGGGAAATCAGTTCATGAAATGAAAAGTTATAAAAAAAGAAGTTACCCTATATATTCATTAGTTTGTTTATTAGTATAGTATGTGTAATATGGATGCTAGATAAATTTTTTATATAAAATAAATTAAATTTGAAAGATAGCGAGATGACGTAAGTCACACAACACATCATTTATTAGGTTTTCTTTGGAAACCGAATATGAAAAAAATAAATTTGAAATCAAGAAACGTATTGTCAGAAGCGTTATGTGTAAAAGACAATGGATTCCTTGCTTGTACATTTCTCTTTTCCTCTTTTCCTGTAAAGTTTTATTATAATTGTTGTCAGATATTAGCGAATTTCTCGCTTGTATATTTCTCGATTTTTGTAAAACTTTATAATATTTTTTTTCACATGTTTCATAAGCGTCTGTTACATTTGAACACTATTTTGGATGTTTGATAATTAAATATTAAGATTCATGCGTTTCAATCTGTTTTAACTCGTTCAATCAGTTCGTAATGTTAAAATAATATAATTCTTTTAGACGCGACTTATATGTGGAATTTCACACATCAGCATATTAACTTTAACGATGTTACTAAGCTTTCTTGCTTTTATACCATTGTTTTAATATATTGATTTCATCCACATTTATGTTATTTCATAGATATAACTCAACTTTGTACTTCAATCAATGGAAACTACAATTGCAAAATCTAAATTAAAATACAGTTACACTATACATTCATATATCGGAAACACATTGTAAAATTGTGTGGTGTGATTTTCTATAGGAAAACAAAGTATAGACAAAATGTGAAATCTTGGAAAGAAATGGAGGACAAAGAGGAGAAATTATGTTGAAGTCTCTGTGGAACCAAAGATTAATGGGGTCGGTCCAATAAAATAATTTACTACTACATTACAACTTTTGATGGTTTCAATTGGAAAAAGGAAAAAGCAGTTGATGATTTGTCGCTTTCGCATTGGCCAAACTCGCATGTGAGTGCAATAACTGACACGTCATACTAGTCGACGTGGCGTTATAGTCAGCGTGATTTATATTTTGTGATTTAGATGTCATTCAGAATAGAGAATATATAGCATTATTTTTCTTTCAAAAAAATTAAATACCTAATACGATTAAGATGATAAATTAAGCAAAAATATAAATAAATTTCACAAATTACAAAAATAAAATTCAATAGCATTCAATATCTGCGGCGTTTTAGTCCGCTTTAGCACATTTTGTTCTTTTTATTTTGTCAAAACTCATTTTTCAAAATGAATCCACCTGTTATTTTATACTATCAAAATTTTACTACTATTATTAGAAAACTTCTTTTTTTGCTTATACAGTCTATACCATTTCCATTTTTGATAAATTGATCGCATTCATATTTCATAAATATAAATTAAATTTGTACTTCAATCGATTGAAAATAATATTCAAAGTTTCAAACCACATCAGAAACAGTAGGAACATTTTTCAAAAACAGTTGTGTCAAATAAAAACAGTTGTGTCAAATAAAAACAGTTTTCATCTTTTAAAAGATCCATTTTGATATGATCTTTGTTATCATTATCTTGTTTATACCATATGTAATCAAATTATTGTTAAAACACACACAATATGAGATATATCGATTTCATTGTATCTATGGACAAATTGCATATACTCTTAGGGGTTCATTATCTAACTACATTTATGAATGGAACACAATATGTTTTAAATACTTATTCGTTAAAGATATATTAATAATTTTTCTAATTTTGTAAATTTTTAAAAAACTTTTGCTTGTTAATAAAAAACTCTCTTGTTATTCAAACGATGATCTCCAACACAAAAAAAGTTATTCAATTAAATATTTGCAAATGTTCTTCCTATATCTAATGTTATTGAACAAGAATTTTATTCGACAAGCAACTATTTTTTATGTTACTTTGCCTAAGGTTTTTGTTGCAATCCTTAGTTGTTGTCTACTAGACTTGAAGTTTGGCTTTGGATTGAGTCTACTATGACTTCTCATCTTTTCCTAGGTTCTAGAGGAGTTAAGTAAAACTAATGAGTCTTTTGGTGTTGTTTCGTATTGCAATATTTTCGCTCTGTGCTAGCCGACTACGGGGAATGTACTTGATAGATTGAGTTAGTGTCAATTGCATATATTGGTTTATGTCGTTCCAATCTGAGATCATTGCTCATGGATTAGTTCGAAGAGCCGCTCTCACATGATAAAGAGGAAGTTTGTAATTGAGGGTATTGAGACTTACGCCGTTCACAGCTCAGCCCTTGGACCTCATGTGAAAAGCTTCCACTACAAAGAGTTTTCGTCTTTGCCGTATTTACAATTTCTATCATCAAATTCTGTTTTTAATAGCTCATTTTAGATTAACTTCATAATCATGTATCACTTCATCTGACACCGTTTGTTTCACGGCATACGTTGAGTCGATGAACTAGTTGTTATATTGCTTCCATGTTTATATCTTTTTGCCATGGAACCAATTCTATAAGTTTAAAATCCATGATTGTAAACCTAAACATTTTCATTTATAACGAATATTTACACTATTAGCAAAAAAAATGAAATTTATTTGAAAGAAACTGAAATTAATTTCATCTCTTATTATTCAATCAACAATTTGAATAAAAATATGGTGTTATTCAAAACACTTTCACCCACAAGAAGGTCTAGCTCTCATCAAGTATAACTCTTTTAGTTCTTTATAAGCCCTTAGATTTTTTCTTCATTGATCCTATCATACAAGTTATACAAAGAATATCAATTTCTTAAAAACCATGAGAGTAAAAAACAAAAATGATTTTTAAAAAAGGCAAAATAATATTTGAACCTTGTGTAAAAAAAAAAAAGAAAAAAAAAAAAAAGAGAATCCCAAGTTACAGAATAAAAGGAAGAAAGGGGAAACTGCGAATTCTAAAATTAGATTCAGAAGAGAAAGTGTTTCCTTGCAAACTCCATAAAAAGAGAGGATACACACATTCGAGAAAGCCAAACCTCTGCACAATGGCGAATCTACCTCCATCTCTCTCCATGGGCACACCTTTCGGTGGTCCTAGCTCCTCCGCCCAGAATCCTACCGGAGCTCCGGCGAACAAAGATCGGAATTTGGCTTCCGCGGAGCAGTTGGTACTCGATCTAAGCAATCCTGAACTCAGAGAGAATGCTCTTCTCGAGCTTTCCAAGGTTCGCCCTAGTAATTTCTCATGTTTTCGTTGTTGTTTCTCCCATCGGGGGCTGTCGTTTTTCTGGTCCGATTCGTCAACGAGGGAGCTAGGGTTATGTTACATGTGAAAGTTTCTTATGAAACGAGCGAATTGAGTGTTTTGTTTGGGAACTTGGTGATGCATGAAAACTGAAAAGGTCGAATCTATTCTCTTTTTGCTTTAGAAGATTTGAGTATCTGACTTGTTGTTGTTTTCTCTTGTAGAAACGAGAATTGTTTCAGGATCTGGCGCCTCTCTTGTGGAACTCCTTTGGTACCATTGCTGCCTTGTTGCAGGTATGACTTAAATGCATCTTGTTTCGGTTATATCCAGTTACTTAAATGCTTTTTCTTTCCTGGAAAATATTGATTAGTCTACCAATTGCGATGGATTTTTAATATCCAAATGCTAATTTATTCGGTGTTAGTATGGTGTGATTTAACTTGGTTTCTTTTGTTTTGCTTGCAGGAGATAGTATCAATCTACTCTGTTCTTGCACCTCCAAATCTGACTCCTGCTCAGTCCAACCGTGTTTGCAACTCACTCGCCCTGCTTCAGGTTCACATAGAGTTTATACACTTCTCTCTTTTAGGATGTTTGGTTGCATGCTCATATATATTTGCTGAATCCATCAAATTCCTGATACTTTTTTCTGTCCGCCTGTTGTACTCTGCAGTGTGTAGCATCTCATTCTGACACGAGGATGTTATTTCTCAAGGGTAATGTTCCTGTTATTTCCATCAGGCTAGCTTAATTTGGCTATAATATAATGTTTACATCTTGTCTGTTTAATGCTATTGAGTGGTGGTTATCTGTTAATTGTATAGTTTAAATTTATTTCGTGGTAACTACAACTGATGTATTCATTGTTATACCTTCTTTGTTCTTATGCACAGCTCACATCCCACTGTACCTTTACCCCTTCCTTAACACAACTAGTAAGTCCAGACCTTTTGAGTACCTGCGGCTCACTAGCTTAGGTGTCATTGGTGCACTTGTGAAGGTAAACCATCTCGTTCCTTTGCTGCAGCTTCTTTCCCCTCTGTTTTGAGGCTCCCCACTAAATTTTTGTGAAAGCTAAGGACAGACTTTTTTGCAGACGGTCTTGGTTTCTGGATAATATTACTATGGATAATTTATTATTTATTTTTTGCTAGTTACTGTATGAAATAAGAAAGGTCATTGATATCCTTAATTTACTTTGCTAACCAGGTTGATGATACAGAGGTCATTAGCTTCCTTCTTTCAACTGAAATTATTCCTCTGTGCCTGCGCACCATGGAGATGGGGAGTGAACTGTCAAAAACTGTGAGCCTTTTAAACTAATTAATATTTTGAAAATTGAAAACTCATCTGAGATTAAGATATGTATTTATGCCTGCGGTTATAGTATGCTCAACTTTTGGCGTTTCGAAATTGTTCATCTTAATAATTGAAATCTTAATTTTTGAAACTCTGTAACGGAACAGCCTCAGTTCTTTTTGTAACTGTTTGTCTAAATTGTATGAATACTGTAGCCGAAATTTTGAACAATGTATCTGTCACCCTCGGGTTTTTATATTTTCTAGGCTTGGATGAAAAAATTTCATGAAACTAGTTTTCGCTTTGCACAAGTTAAATTGCGTCTACAGTGGAAATTGTGCAACACCATGTTTACCAATTTATGTATATATATATTAATGACAGGTTGCAACGTTCATAGTTCAGAAGATCTTGTTGGATGATGTGGGGATGGATTACATTTGCACAACAGCAGAGAGGTTTTTTGCGGTTGGTCGAGTATTGGGCAATATGGTTCAGTCACTTGTGGAACAGCCTTCACCCCGCCTTCTAAAGCATATCATTCGTTGTTATCTCCGTTTATCAGACAACCCAAGGTTGGTTTAGCTCAATCAGAGATGAGTTTTCATATAGTCTCATGTGCTTGGCTTTTTCATGCTCGCGTTTGTGTTTTACTTAGGGCTTGTGCTGCCCTCGGAAGCTGTCTCCCTGACTCGCTACGAGATGGAACCTTTAGCAATTGTCTTCGCGTAAGTCATTGTCATTCTTTTACTGGAGTTTACTTGTTCGTGTAAGAAATGCTTTAGTTGAAAACTTGGGATATATATCGTTTCAGGAGGATCAAATTGCAAGGAGGTGGCTGCAACAGTTGGTTCACAATGTTGGAGTTGTTCGAGTCCCAGCACATCAAGGTGGAGGATTTGAGCACATGCTTTGAACTGAATCCATCTCAGCCCATCCATGGAGTGTTTCTTCTGTTTTAGTTTCTAATTTATTCATGTGCTTTTGATGCCTTAACTTAGATGATGGGTTACTGGCTTTTAATCTGGTTGAATTTCTTATTGTAATTATTATAAGTTTTAGAACAAAACCCCATAATGCATTAAGTCTCGGGATAAGAAAGGCTTGGTTACAAAATATATATTATTGAGTTTGCATATTTATGTAGAAAGGTAACAATTTTTATTCCAACAAAGCTTTAGCAGTCTCTTGGTGTCTAAATCGTACTTATTAAAGGTTCAAAGCTAGAATTTGGGGACAGGGACTACGGCTCCATTTTTTGCACCAGACTCGAGCATTGCTTCAAGAACCGCAACGTCACGGGCACCTTCGACGTATGATAGACGAGGCTCTTGCTCCTTCTGCAACAAATCCATAGGAGAGTTTAAGTAACAGAGTATCCATGTTTTGAGTTCCTGCATTAGGCTAAGATTCTAGGATTACCTTTGAAGTATCTGATATATCATTGAAGAACGCTTTTAGTTCTTCAGTCACTCCGCTGAACGGGTAAAAGATGGTCCTTGTTGTCCCTCCTTCTCCATAAATCGTGGTCTGGAAAGCTCAGAAGATCACAGCCATTTGAGTTGAGTAGTTTCAAGTAAAATCTGAATATTTCAGTTGGCCACATGTTAGAGTATACAAACCATGTAACCATGTCGGCCACCTTCGACTCCACGCTCTAGTTGAACAGTGCCCTTTAGTCCTACGACTCTCCATAATATCTAAAGAGTAGAAGTTGTGTGAGAAAAACTATGGTTATTAGGCTAAAGCGCTGTCGAAATCCAAGTCTTACTACATGCCTTTGGAGACCTTGAAGACACAACCATAACAAAAACCCCAGAGCATCCATTCTCGAGCTGACTATAGAGCAAAGAAATGTCCTGGTTTAGAGTATTCATGTGAAATCAGTGTGCTAAGAAACGAAGAATTGATGTAGTTACACTTACAAGTTTGATGTTATATTGTCTGGTCCAGGTAAAGTTTTATCCACATGAGAAGTGGAGGCTGAGACTGATGCTACCTCACATCCAACAAGCTGTTCATGACAAACCAATAACATCACACTTGGGATCCAACAGCAGGATATCGAAGAAACATATTAGCTAATGAAGTTATCTGGTACCATTCTTAACCCTGCAATGTAATGCACACCCATATCCAAGATGAAACCACCCTGCACATGAAGAACTGACATATTACTTACTTTCTTCGATATATGGATGGGTGAATGATATATCTGTCATTGTAATTCTTAAGTTACAGTATAGCAAGCAGCGTGTTAGAAAGATGCTGTGCAACAGTCTGACAAAATACGAATGTAACGAAATAGGATGTATTACATACACTCAGATTTCGCCTCCAGGAGCTTGAGAAATAAGGATTAGAACTGTTCATTGATCCCTCAATAATTAGTTGGACGTTCATCATATCCCCAATTTCTGCTATCAGTTTCTTCAACTGCCGAAAGCAACCATAAGATATTTCAATTTCAAGCGCAATATTACTTGCTGACCGGAAGTGCCAAGAGCACATGGAGTAACATTTACCTCAACAAAAGCTGGCTCAAAACGATAATTTTCAGCCACAGCCCAGATAGGACGGCATGGGGTATCAGCTGAAATAATTCTATAGCTTAACATTGCAGCTTCTATCTCACTGATCGCTGCAACAGAAAACGTTTAAACCAATAGGAAAAATCAGCAGTTTAGAGTGGCATAATCAGGATGATTATGGTTTAACGTTAAATGGGTCATGTTCAACACGAAAAGATGACTATAGGCCAGTGTTATCCTACACGTTTCTCGTTTATAAAAGATGGAACATAAAAAAACATGCCAAGCTGGTTTAAAAAAGAGGAGTGATCAACTTACACGCAGCAGCTGGCTTCTCTGCAGACCGATCCATGACAGCAACATACATAGCAAGAAAGAGGAACTATCTTTAGTGTTTTAAAGTTGGGATACATTGTGAAGAAGCAATAACATTGCCAAACGGTCATAACATGCCTACATATAGAAATGGTTAGGCGGAGACATCCACAATAGCAAAAACTTCCAAAGTTCCATTCATATTTAAACAATAGTAGCATAGGCTGATTATACTTGTTTGAGCAATCAATGGCAGTTAAAAATACAGTCTTTAAGGATACATGAAGTGGGAAAGTCACCTTGAAGGACGTGCTTTCCTGCCTTGAGCATCTTCAGTGACATTTCAACCTAAAGCATAAGATTTTGAGTAAGAAAAATCCTATGCATTGTCCCAACTAGATTCTACACCCATCAGTGAACACTAGTATGAAAGATACCATGGTTTCTGCAGCTACAACTACAGCAACACCAACTATTGAACTATCTTCCATGATCTCATTTAGACCCTCATCTCCCCATTTGCACTTCACATCAGGAAAATGCTTTCTTGCTATCTCCACAGCTCCTTTTGCAGATTCCTTCAACCATAACAAAGAAATTCACAATCGATCAGTGCTGCATTCTGAAACAGCTACAGAATCTCATATTTTGAGGCACTTGGCATCATAATCTCCATAATCAAGTGCATTGATTGAACGGTCCACACTATAGTTCACTCTTTCACAAATGGCCAAAAGGGATGATAATGGTATACCTCAGTACGGCTCCAAATCGCTTTCAGGACGACGAGATCGGAGATCTCAGCCAAACGTGGAATGTATTGCGTTTTGACGAAGATCCCAGCTCCGAGAATAGCAATTCCAGGAGAAGGATTCACCATTTTGGCTTTCTTTTGGTTGTATTGGATCCAAACTGTGCTTATAGTAGTCACACAACTCATGAAACGCTTAATCCAATCGCGATCCTTACTCAACCGCAGACGTTAATATATCGCAAACGCTTGGTGAAAAAGACCGATATGCCCCCCAGCAACCAATCTCCCTCTCTCTCTCTCTCTCTCTCTGTTATCGAGTACTCTTAAGTCTTAACTTCCCCATCTTCATAAAGCCCTAGATCCTGCTTTGAATTTTTATTTTTGGAATTAGTGTTGAGTTGACTTGTACTTAATAGATTTAGTTGATCTTTCTCGAATTTTTCAGTATCGTTGTTGTTTCAATATTTTGTCATGGCGGGCGATGATTTAGCTGAAACGAAGAAGGGAAGCTCGAAGAACACTAAGAACAGCAACGAGAGCAAACTCAAGCAAAGTAATAATGAACTATGTATCTGCTGCACATTTCGAGTTTAATTTAGTGTGTGGCCTGTGATAGTGAGCTGAATAAAATGTTCTTTTGGTTTAATTCGTGAATTTGCAGAATCACCAGCTGAGTTTTTCGCGGAGAACAAAAACATTGCTGGATTTGACAATGTGAGTACCCAATTTGTTGGTTTTTAATGTAATAACCGTTGATCCTTTATGTTTGTGTTTCGAAAAAGTTATGAATGATCTAATCTCTAGTTACTTTGTCTTTAATTCAATTCAGCAAAGTCTGAAGAATCTGATAATTGGGTCTTGAAATTGTGGATTTTTTTGCAGCCGGGGAAGTCGCTTTACACTACAGTTAGAGAGCTTGTTGAAAATGCTCTTGATTCTGCAGAGTCCATTTCAGAGCTCCCTGAGGTTGAAGTAACAATGTACGTTTCCTTACTTTGGCCTAAACACATATACTTTGTGCTAATCCGATATGTTAGTTTAGTAAACTTTGGATTTTATCTTAACCAGCCTTCTTCCAGTGTTAAGATTCACTGACTGTCTTGTTTTTCTTTTGTTTGAAGCGAGGAGATTGTAAAATCTAAGTTTAATTCCATGATTGGTCTTATTGATCGGGAACGTGTTGACACACAGCTGTATGATGACTATGAGACAGAGAAGGCCCGTGAGGTGCATGAATCTTTTCTTATTCCTTCTAATTATTGAGCTTTTAAGCAGCTTTGTTTTAGTGTTCCAGAATTTTCACTGTTCTGTAACAGTGCCTCTCTATTCATGGATTTGTTAACAGTTCTAATCCTTGTAGTTGTTTCCTGTTATGTAGAAAAGGTTAGCAAAGGAAGCTCGTGCCAGTGAGATACAAGCCAAAAACTTGGCATCGGGAAAGAAAAACAAAGAGCCTGGAGTCTCAAAGGTTTTAAAGGCCCGAGGGGAAGCATCGTATTACAAGGTGACATGTAAGGTGAGAGTTTGAATGATATTTGTTTGACTCAACAGGTTTTTTTGGTGCAATTTGAAGTATATGTATAAGTACCTGTAGTTCTTTAATTTAGTTCTTAAGCAATTTTTGAGTCATGACTTGAGTTGATCATAATGTAGGATAATGGTAAGGGGATGCCACATGATGACATTCCAAATATGTTTGGGAGAGGTAAAATAGCTTATGGCCACCCTCACATCCTCTATTGATTTAGCCTGGTTTATAAACCTTATAATCTGGCTTTTATCTGAACTCTAAGTTTACAAATTGTTCTTCTTTCAGTTTTATCCGGGACAAAGTATGGACTGAAGCAAACACGTGGGAAGTTTGGTCTGGGCGCAAAGATGGTACTCTCTTCTTATCAAGTCTAAATTTCAAGCTCTCATTCTTTTATTTTTCGTATTTTGGCTTTTATATAGCATGTTTGATACCTGAGATTGCCTGTAAAACTGCATAAAATGCTGAAAAGGTTTATCAGTTTCAACTTTGTAGCCTTCAGCAGTCTATGACCAAAATAGGAAGATGGCTTGTTCCTAGGCTTAAAAAAGGAATATTTATCTTATATAGGTTTTCTGTACATGGGTCTTTAAGAGGATCTGAACTATTATCTATATTCCCAGAGAGCCTGTTTAACTCTTCAAGTTTCTCTAAATTTTCCTGGTGCAGGCCTTAATTTGGTCCAAAATGAGTACAGGTCTCCCCATAGAGATTTCTTCATCTATGAAAAGTCAAAACTATGTTACTTTCTGTAGACTGGATATCGATATTCACAGGTACCCTGAACAGCTTCTCGAAAGCGGATATCAATTTAAGTTCTTATGTTTCTGCATCTTGTCATGATGAAAGCCATGGATGCATTAATCTGTTTTAAACCTTTTGCAAAACTTCTCATTAGCTGAGCGTCGAAGAATGGTCTTCATATGGTTGAATTTTTCAGGAACATTCCTCATATTCATCTCCACGAAAAGAAGGGCAACAAAGAGAAATGGCATGGGGCTGAAATACAGGTGGTAATCGAAGGAAACTGGACAACGTACAGAGTATGTGTTTTAGATCGTTCTTTTTCTGTATCATATTACTAAGTGTTCTTTAGATATTTATGCACGCACAGTTGTCTAACACATTTGATCTAATTTGTTTTTCCAGTCAAAGATCTTGCACTATATGCGTCAAATGGCTGTTATTACTCCTTACGCGCAGTTTCTGTTTAGATTTATATCAGAGACACCAGAGTATGATCTCTATTGCTCTGATTTTTACTGCTCTGTCTGATAGCTATTTCTGTTTATGTGCCAGCATTATCGAGTTATTCAATTTTATTTTCATGTAGGAAAAATGTCACTATTAAGTTTACTCGAAGAACTGATGTGATGCCTCCTATTCCTGTTGAGACCAAGCACCATCCATCTTCAGTTGACTTGCTGCTTATCAAGCGCCTTGTTACAGACACCTCCAAAAAGACCCTTCTGCAGTTTCTTCAAAATGAATTTGTAAATATTAACAAAACCCTTGCAACAAGATTAATTGGTAAGTATGACATCATTCTCATTTGTTATATTAGTCTGAAGTTTTTTAATATTTTTGTCGCAACACATTTGCCAGTACTTTTACTTGGCCGCTGGAAATGATCTGATCTCCAATGAAGAGTTTCAGTATTATATGTCCTGGTAAATTTGACGGATTGTACTATAATGTTTGCTGATTCTGAAAGGCAATTATCTGCTCTAGTTTACTGGTTAATAGTTTAAGAAAATCATCCATTCCCATTATATTTACTAAACTTGGGCTACCCCTTTAAATTTAGTCATGATTCTTCTTATTTTCTTTCTTTCAGGGGAAATGGGACCTGATTTCAGCCCTAGCATGGCTGTCAAATCTGTAACATCGCAGCAAATGGTACGCATACATCAGTTATTCCGCCAAGCCAAATTCGACGACCCTAGTGGTGGCGTAAGCAGCTGCTTTCTTTTGAACTGTTCATTCGGAATTTGTTTTTGTTAGACCATCTTGAAATTGTAGCTCTAATTGTACTGCGGCTTTATCCTCTAGTGTCTTAGTCCGGCAGGAGAATACAATCTTCGCCTAGGGATTATCAAGGAGCTGCATCCAGATATGGTAGCAACGTATTCAGGCAGGTTGTCACTGCTATCCTTTTTTTTTTCTGCCAATGCATCTGATTTATATATGGAGTATAATCTCATCTGTCAAGCTTTATACATTCTTTGTCGTTAATCTGAGCTTGGTTTTTCTAATCGTTAACTTCTTCCTGGAAATCCTGTTCAGTGCTCAGGTCTTCGAAGGTCATCCTTTCATTGTTGAAGCTGGTGTTAGTGTTGGTGGGCGAGATGTGAAACAGGCAAATCCTATCCTCCTTCTATTTATTCAGCAAACCTTTTAAACACACTCAAAGAGAGTTCCCCTATATTTAAGTTTGTTCTAACATGTTGCCACATAAGTGAGCTGAAATTTGAGCATGAATCGTATCTGTTACACTTTATCATCGTATGAAGCTATGAGTAAGAATAGCTAAAAAGCATAGATCTTCTTGACATGAACTGTTATAGTCTGTGTTGATCTCACGCTTCAACTTTCTTATGAATTCTCTCGGGAAATTGCTACTGAAAATTGCAGGGGATCAACATATTTCGTTTTGCAAACCGTATTCCACTCCTTTTCGAACAAGGAGGTGATGTTGTCACCAGGACGGCCTCAAAAAGAATCAAGTGAGCCTTCTTTTTAGCGTGCTATATAACTCGGTATATCATTGTAGTTGGAATCTTTCTCCAACCTTTTTATATTAATAGGTATTGGAAAAACTTTGCAGTTGGAATAGTTATAAGATCAACCAGACGCAAGATAAAATAGGAGTTTTTGTGAGCATAGTGAGTACAAAAATTCCTTTCAAAGGGACAGGGAAAGAGTACATAGGAGATGACATCAGTGAGATAGCAACTGCAGTCAAGGTAACACATTAAGAAAGACTTTTGGACGTTATCCGCCATATTATTAAATCTAACTTTCGGCCTTTATTTTTTCTATCAAGTCTGCAATACAACAATGCTGCATCCAACTGAAATCCAAAATAGTCAAGAGACTGCAAGCCCGTGAACAACAAGAGCGGAAACGCAGTTTGAGCAGGTAAAAAAATAAACACAAGAAATTTAGTGTCCTCCCATTTTTCCTCCAAACCCGAAAACGGTAAAGATAAACCGGAAACGTTGCAGATATATACCCGATGCAACGGGTGCGGTGTACGAGGTTTTAAAACAAATGACAGAAGAGCATAAAACAAAGAGAAAACGTTACGGAGAGGAAGACACAGCTATGCTTGACAAAGTTTCTAAAGAGATAATCACAAAAGAAACATTGACAGAAAAGCTTGCTCAGCATGTAGAACAGGTTTTGTTTTTGCACGAATCACACACACACACATCTAAAGTTGTTCGTTTAGCATCATCACCCTTTATTTATTATCTTGCTGAATCATTGTTGTGGTGGTTTCAGGTAGACTACGAGATGGCATTAGAGTATGCAACACAAAGTGGAGTAAGTGAAGAACCGAGAGAAAACATATACCTCCAACACTTGGATTCCAACAAGACCAATTTCATTGATCTCCATAGTCCAACTTTCGTCTTCAGACTCATCTTGTAAAGAAAAAAAAACATTTGTATCTCTATTATATTATTACATACACACACTTCAACAAGTTTACTAGTCAATTTTGTTCACTTTCTTTCTGGGATATTTTAAGAACACTTGAAAAAGTGCCCCCAAACAAAAAACAAAAAAAGACATAAAATTTATCACTCTTTGGTTTGGTTAGTTTCAACAATTGTGTCGGAGAACGTGATAAATATAAAAAATTGAAGAAGAGAGCACGAAAACTTTATTAAAAAAATATTTTACCACCTCTTGAGAATACAGATTTGTCGTAATCGATAATAGTTGTCGATGATGACGAAACGTTTTCTACTTGTAATAACATGATGTAAAAATAAATTTATTTTCTTTTTCCTACCCCGATTTTTAATAAAGATATGGATAATGAATCTATTGTATTTTAATTCCAAAGTGAAAGAAGAAGAAAAAAAAAGCCGCCAAAGAAAAAATAACGTAAATATGGTAGTAATAATCGCGGGCAATAAATAATATACGTGTAAGAAACAATTAAATACATACCGCGTAAAATAAAATAAAAAAACGAAGAGTAGCGAGAGTAGTGCCAAAAGGCGCTTTGTTATTTATTTATTTTAATTTCTGAATATATATAATAATAATAAATGACCTCTATTAAATTTTGTGTGAAAATTAAAAAAAATATATATAAATAGTGTAGTAGTATCATCTTCCTGATCTACAGAGAGACTCCACCAAAAAAAAAAAAAGAGGGGAACGCAAGAAACGCAAATAAACAAAAGTCGCTTTCTACCCACGTGATCTTTCGTCGACTTTTCTTCTCCTTCTTCTTCTTCTTCCTCTTCCTCATCTTCGTCTCTCTTCATCTCTTTTTTGGGTGATGAAATTAGGGTTTATTATCTTCTTTTTCTTCTTCTCATCACCATACACAAATTAAAAAAAAGGCTCAGCCCTTTTTCTTCTTCTTTTTTTTCATTTTAAATTATTCTTCTTCTGCTTCTGCTCTTCATTTCTCTCCAGGTACTTGTTTCTTTTCATTTATTTTAGGGTTGTTCTTTATATTTCTGATTACTTAGAGGATGTTATATATATTTTTTCCTTGGGGGGTTTTAGTAGATCGATGGTTTTACTTGAGATTACTATTGTTTACTTGATCTAATTTTGATGATTTTGTTTATATATATATATGATTGCTTTTATCATTTTTTCATCAAAGATGAAATTTTTGGGTTTTGTTGTTGTTATATATGGTTGATCTATTTGAAATTATTCAAATTTAAATTTTTTATCTTTCTTATTATGCTCTTCTTCTGAATATGATCATTTCTATATTTGGGGTTTCTTCGATTTTTCCCTATCTTATCTTCCGTTGATTTTTTTTTTTGTTTCCTATGTTGAAGATCTCATCCCTCTTTTGGATTATCTAATCTCTGGACATGTTTTTATTTTTATTTTTAACGATTGATGCTTTGAAAATATAAGATCTGATGATGTGTTTTTAAATTTAAACGGTGATTGAATTCGAAAAGCCCCTTTTTAAAAAATCCTGGGTTTAGGGTTTGATTTTAGTACTAAGTTGTTTGATTCTGAAGAAATATACTTTTAAACTGATTTGGTTTTGTTTGTTGTGTTTTGAGTGTTATCAGGTTCAACTTGGCTTTGGTCTTTCTTGTGAAGAGTTACGATGATGTTTAACGAGATTGGGATGTGTGGAAACATGGATTTCTTCTCTTCTGGATCCCTTGGTGAAGTTGATTTCTGTCCTGCTCCACAAGCTGAGCCTGATTCTATTGTTGAAGACGACTATACTGATGATGAGATTGATGTTGATGAACTTGAGAGGAGGATGTGGAGGGACAAAATGAGGCTTAAACGTCTCAAGGAACAGGATAAGAGCAAAGAAGGAGTTGATGCTGCCAAACAGAGGCAGTCTCAAGAGCAAGCTAGGAGGAAGAAGATGTCTAGAGCTCAAGATGGGATCTTGAAGTATATGCTGAAGATGATGGAAGTTTGTAAAGCTCAAGGCTTTGTTTACGGGATCATTCCTGAAAATGGGAAACCTGTCACTGGTGCATCTGATAATCTCCGGGAGTGGTGGAAAGATAAGGTCAGGTTTGATCGTAATGGTCCTGCCGCTATTACGAAATACCAAGCCGAAAACAATATCCCGGGGATTCACGAAGGTAACAATCCCATTGGACCGACTCCGCACACCCTGCAGGAACTTCAAGACACGACTCTTGGATCGCTTTTGTCGGCGTTGATGCAACACTGTGATCCTCCTCAGAGACGGTTCCCTTTGGAGAAAGGAGTTCCTCCTCCGTGGTGGCCTAACGGGAAAGAGGATTGGTGGCCTCAACTCGGTTTGCCTAAAGATCAAGGTCCTGCACCTTACAAGAAGCCTCATGATTTGAAGAAGGCGTGGAAAGTCGGCGTTTTGACTGCAGTTATCAAGCATATGTTTCCTGATATTGCTAAGATCCGTAAGCTCGTGAGGCAATCCAAGTGCTTGCAGGATAAGATGACTGCTAAAGAGAGTGCTACTTGGCTTGCCATTATTAACCAAGAGGAGTCTTTGGCTCGTGAGCTTTATCCTGAGTCTTGTCCACCTATTACTTTGTCTGGCGGAAGTTGCTCGCTTCTGATGAATGATTGCAGTCAATACGATGTTGAAGGTTTTGAGAAGGAGCCTCACTATGGAGTGGAAGAGCTCAAGCCAGAAAAAGTGATGACTTCTTCTAACTTTGGGATGGCTGCTAAAATCCATGACTTTCCTGTCAAAGAAGAAGTCCCTACAGGAAACTCGGAATTCATTAGAAAGAGGAAGCCGAACAGGGATCTGAACACTGTAATGGACAGAACGGTCTTCACCTGTGAAAACCTTGGATGTGTGCATAGCGAAATCAGCCGGGGATTTCTGGATAGGAACTCAAGAGACAACCATCAGATGGGTTGTCCACATCGAGACAGTTGCTTACCCTATGGAGCAGCAGCATCCAGGTTCCATGTCAATGAAGTCAAGCCTGTAGTTGGATTTTCTCAGCCAAGGCCAGTGAACTCGGTGGCCCAACCAATCGACTTAACAGGTATGGGAGTTCCTGAAGATGGACAGAAGATGATATCTGAGCTCATGTCTATGTACGACAGAAACGTTCAGAGCAACCAAACTTCTGTGGTCATGGAAAGTCAAAGCGTGTCACTGCTTCAGCCAACAATCCAGAATCATCAAGAACAGCTTCAGTTCCCAGGAAACATGGTGGAAGGAAGTTTCTTTGAAGACCTGAACATCCCAAACAGAGCAAACAACAATAACAGCAGCAATCAAACGTTCTTCCAAGGGAACAACAACAACGGGTTTAAGTTCGACACTGCACATCACAACAACTTTGAAGCTGCACATAACAACAACAACAACAACAGTAGCAGTAACAGGTTCCAGCTTGTGTTTGATTCTACACCGTTCGATATGGCGTCATTCGATTACAGAGATGATATGTCAATGCCAGGAGTAGTAGGAACGATGGATGGTATGCAGCAGAAGCAGCAAGACGTATCTATATGGTTCTAAGACTTGGTAGTAGATTTCATCTTCTCTTATTTTTATCTTTTATGTTCTTACATTCACTCAACCATGTAATATTTTTCTGGGTATCTCTCTGTCACTATCGCTTGTTATGTGTTTGTAAGAGTCTCTAAAACTCTCTGTTACTGTGTGTCTTGTCTCGGCTGGTGAATCTCTCTCACTATCTGTTTCTTTTAGTTACACACCCAACTTGGGGATGAACGAACACTAAATGTAAGTTTTCATATCATATATAATATAATATATATTTGCAATTTCTCTTCTTCATCATTATGTTGTTCGTTTTGACTATGCAATTTAAAAGTTTTGATGAGTTTCAGTTTCACGCTAATTATCTCTACGTTTGGCTTTGCTCGTAATAGTTAGTATTTATGTTGCGGTGGATTCTCATATTTTTCACAAAGAAGGGTTATAACCGTATAATAACAATTGTATTTGATGGATAACGTGCTTGTTGCTAGTGGCTCGTGGGTAGTAAATAAAGCATGGGTCAGTGCTTGTGCCCTACGAGCTCGAGCGATCGAGCACACTTACCAACCAAAAGAAAAAGAAAGAAAAAAAAAATATATGTCCTTACATGTGAGGTATTCTTAAATACCTTTTTTCTTTTGTCTTTTTATCTCTTATTTTGTTTTATAGCTTATAAAATGGTTACAGTTTACGCACAGCTAGCGCACTATGACGACAGTTCAAACGCTGGTCGATACTTGAAGAAACTACACAACAAAACATGTTTAAATATTGTAGCAGAAACAAAAGATGAAAAAATTCAAAACAAAGCATTAGCTCAGAACAAGATAATATGGTCTCATCTACTTTTATCAACGTCAATGAAATAATTCACATCTGCCCCCCTCAATATGTAGACAAACCATATCATATAAAACTAAAACCATCATCATGATACGACTCACTATATATATTAGTAATCCGTAAGACCTAAACAATTTATTTTATACTAGATTATAGTCATACGAGATTGGCAAGTAGGCGAAATAATATTAGAATTAATGGACTAGCCGACTAGTTGATGCGAATTACCAAAAAAAAAATGGACCAGTTGATGTGTAAACACCACTTCGTCTTCTTCAGTTCATACCCTTCAAAACTTACTTCCCATCAGCAAGTCCAGTCAAAGCGGGTCTGATGAGACAAAACGATTCTCAGTGAGAGCGTGAAGCAATGATGGCGTGTGAAGGAAGCTGCAGCATCATCACGGTATTTTAAACATAGGAGAGATCGCGTCTGGTGAAGCAAAAAAAAGAACGTAGAAAGTTCTTGGAGACGCAAAGAGATAAGTGTGTGATAAATTCTAAGGAATCAGGGACGGTGGTAGACATCATCGCCTTGGATTAGGGTTTTATTCCATTAGAGTATATTATTATTTGTAACATTTTTTTTTTTATCTCCGAGGTCATTCAATAATTTGTATTTAGAAAGTCAACAAAATAGTATTATTTATGTTATATACATTTGTATTGAGGTCAAAAGGCTTCGAGGGCACGAGTAATCTATAAAAATAGCAATTTCCTTTTATCTTTTATTTCTCGGCGGGAAAAACTAATCGACGTCTCTTCATCTTCTCGGCCGCCGTGGCGTTAGGGTTTTTTCCTTTTTTATAATTCTTCCACGTTCCCGTACTCTCAAGGTTCTTTTTTCTTCTGTGACGATCATCATCATGAGAAACTCGGTGAAGCGGGAAGCGGAATCAACCAGAGATCGCAGCAGAGGAAGAGAAGCAGATGACTCGTCGCCGGAGAGACCTAAGATCGTGAAGAAGGAGAAGCAGAGTAAAGTCGTGATTGCTGGGTCTCAGGAGCCACCGATTCAGAAGGAGGATGATCAAGGAATTGCTGATCGGAGAGCTTTAAGATCTCAGTACCTCACTCTTAACCACAAGATTAAAGGCACTCTCTTCACTTCAAATCTCTATTTACTTCTACTTTTGTTGTTTTTTTGGTCCTGACATTACTGTGTTTGGTTTGGTGTCTTAGATGCTAACGATGATTTGACAAAAATTGGTTCTGACAAGTTCAACCGTATCATTACTGAGGTTGAGAGTTTGCACAAGAAAGGTAAACAAATTTGTCTATATATGCCTTGTCTTAAAGTAGGAGATGTTTTTATCTTGTAGCATTATAACTCTTTTTTTTTTGGTGCTGTTACATTATTTTCTTTTTGCAGTTCAGAAGCCTAGAGAGCAAGTTGCTGACGCGGAGGTTCTTTCGGATTTAGTGGATAGGGTGGTTGCATCAGTGAAATCTCTGTCTGCTCATGGTGGTGTTTCTCCAGCTGAGTTTGTTAATGCCTTGATCAATGGGTTTGGGAAGACTTCTTTGAGAATCGATGCTGATGATAGCACGCAAGTGTCCATGAAGTGGAAGGACCTTGGTTTTGCGGTTTGCTCTTCGGTTATTGTATCATATGGTTGTTCAACAATGTGAGTTCTCTCTCTCTCATTGTAAGCTCTCAATGTTAGGGATTGGAACTTGGATACCTAATTTTAAATTATTGTTTTTGTTGTGTATCTCTCTTAGGTTAGGTCCTATGGATACTAAATTGAAACAAAGGAAAAGAGCAGTGGGAGACAGAAAACGTACAAAGCCTGGTGCAGGTGTTAAGCCAGAGGAGGTGAGCAACTTTGACTGGGTCTAATTGTTTTGTATATTTGGTTCCCAAACTAATGCATCGCTAGAGTTACTCTGCTTACTAAGCTGTGTGTAGCACTCTATCTCTTAACGACTTGAAATCAGTGGTAGCGTACATAGTTTAATGTTTTATTGCATGCCTTGATGTATTTAAAATCTCCGTTTCCATATTACTTTAGTTTGTAGTGGATTTGATGATTCATGTATGAATCAGTGCCGATTTGGCTACTTTCCTTATCCTGTAGGTTGATGAAGCTGAAAAGAAAACTGATACAGACAATAACATGGCAATGATGTTTAGCATCTTGGGGAAAAACAAACGTGTCAAGTTTGAAAATTTGGTGCTTAATAGGAAATCATTTGCTCAGACAGTAGAGAATGTGTTCGCACTATCATTCTTGGTGAAAGATGGAAGAGTTGAGATAAATGTTGATAAAGATGGTTCTCATTTCGTTGGTAAGATTTACCTTTTCCTTCCCTTGTGTCTTGTTTTGGTATTTTATTTCCTCATGTGTCCTCAAAAAATATCTGGTTTCTATACACTTATCTCACTTTCCTCATTTGTCCTCATCAGTGCCGAGGAATGCTCCTGATGGGAACGTGGTGATGTCAGGGGAGGTCGTTTATAGCCATTATGTACTTAGATTTGATTACAAAGATTGGAAGGTGCATATTAGTTTTATTTTCAATAATTCGCCAAGTGGTGTATTAGCTAAGCTATAATGAGTTCTGGGATTTGGTGATTGTTGTTGCGTAGCAAATGAGTACAATGGTGGCAGTGGGAGATGAGCTGATGCCACACAGGGAAACCCAAGTCGTTTCATCTGCTTGTGATTTGGCATCAAAACTTTCACAAGATTCGAGGAAGCAAGGTTCGGTGGTTCAAGAGGAAACAGCTCTGGAAGATTCTTCTGACATGGAAGGCGTTAATGAAGATAGTAAAAATGGTGAAACAGGCCGGGAATTCAAGGTTAGGAAGACTACTCACTTGTGAAGATGAACTGACTAGTCCTTTTTTTAACTTATCCATTTGGGGGGTACATAGCAATGTTTTTAATATAACATGTATTTCGGTTCGGTAGGATTAGGAAGCATGTCCTGATGAGGTTGATAGATGTATTTTAATGGATTGTTTCTGGTTAGGATTGTTTATTTTGGTTGATGGTAGGTTTTTGAAGTTTAGGGAGAGGCCTTGGCTTTTTATCTTGTCTTAGGCAGCACAGAAGGTTAAGATGTGCTAATGTTAGCGTACTTTGGACTATTTTCCTAATGGCTAATGCAACTCGTCGCTTAATTATTATTATTATTGCTCTACTTTGGCTTTGGAGTGGTTAAACTTAAACCCCATATGATTAGTAAGCGTTTGGGAAATATAATCTCGATGCTTCCGAAGACCATAACGATTTGTGCCATGGTGCAAGTCATATACACTCTAAAAGCCTAACGATTTTTAAAATCATTTACATTGGCTACCTACCAAAATTTTGCACCAATATCCTCTAAACATTACATATTTACATAATTTCTCTTTCAAGAGTAGTGAGTCTCCTTGTAATTACTAAAAGTGGCGATAAAACTACTTGTTTATGTTGTAACAGTTTTTTTCTCTATAGATACTGTCTTTGTTCGAGTTGTCAGACATGCAACAAAGACGAACACAAGCGAGGAAAACCATATATATTGTACTTTGGTTTTTATTTCGAGAAAAACAAATTCCCTTTTTTAGTTAACAAAAAAACAAAAGTACAACTACAAAAATTTGTACTTGTCTTTGCTTTACAGTTGTAAGTTGTAACATCAATAGATTTTCTAATCTATTTAGTTCTTCTATACATAATAACCATTTTATTTTATCAACCAAAAAAAATAATTGTTTTAAAAAATATTGTTCTATTGAATTTAGACTAATAAAATTACTTTTGATATGTAATATTTTTATTTATTTTTCAAATAACATCGTGTTATTTTGTTGTTACAGCAAATTACTGCGATCATTTTATCATTTGTTAGAATTATTTATCAAATCACACATATCAAGATGTACATATAACGTTTGTAAGTGTTCTATCAATCCAATAATTGGCTTGTTAAAAAGAAGTTTGGTAGTTCACTGCAATATGGTTTTCATATATGAAACAACAACAAAAAAGCTTAATCATAGACACTGATAATACATGAGCGACCTTTTGAGTTTTGACATTACAATTGCTTAAATGGTAAAATCTCAAAATTTTAGCTTTCCTCCCATAATGCTCAATCATAGACATTGATAACACTTTGAACCAAAAAAGACATTGATAACACAAATGCTTAATTAACACAATCAATTTCTCTTATTTTCTTATATTAATTATCCAACTACAAATCACTCAGTTTCTTTTGGCTTTCCTCTCTTGCTCCTTCCTGAACTTGATCCCACAAGCATTGCACAAACTCTGAAAACACACACATTACCAATTAGAAATGATCATTGTAATTAAAAGAAATGATTAATAATTTGGAGACTAATTAAAATTACCTTAGGACCAAGAGGACCCCTTCGCCACATAGGTGTGGTAAGTGCGTTACAGTTCTTGTTCGTACATTTCCTCGGCCCTTCAGCCCTTCCGCCGCAGTAGCCACCATCGCAACCGACGCGAAGCCTCTTGCCGTACGAGCTCGGGCTTTCGCTCCAAGCGTTTGCCATCAACATAGCGTTGTTACGTTGAGCTCTACTAGCAGGAACATCGATCAGAACATACGCTTCTCTCTCCGGACGAGTCACTGGAGCCGGTGCCGATCCCGGAGGCGGAGGCATTGGGTAGGTGTCGAAGTTTAGAGTGTTGGGGGCGCCGGCGAACTGTTGAAAGATGTAATTGTAGACTCTAATATTCATGTCCACGTTGCTTCTTCTTGCACCTTCGTCGTTGCTCACTTTATTATCTCCCCAGATAGCCCTACATAGGTTGAAAACCTCGCCACCGCCGTTGTTGTTTTTGTCTCCACGGCCACCGTCGTTGTTGTTGTTGTCCTCACGACGGTCGTCGTTGGTATCCTATATTTTGTTGGTCACGTAATTAATTATATATTTTAATGTATTAGTAATTAATGCTTATTTATGTAGTTAACTTTAAAAAGGAGATGATAAGGTTTTTATGTTTTTTCCCTCCAATTAGTGTTTTTACAATTAAGAGTTTAAGACAGTTCACAGTACTGTCAGCGTTTTTTTTTTCTTCAATTAATTATAATAGTTCAATGAATTTTTAAAAAGTTTAAGCATGAGACTAGTCCATCTTCTTCAAAAGCACATAAATGAAAGAAGATATATGTATATATATATATATATATATCTCTACGATTGAAGTTTTTTTTTTCATATTTATTCATGCATACATCAATTAATTATAGTGGCAAAAAAAATTAAAATAATAAGGAGTAAACTAATGAAATAAGACCTGATCAGTGGTGATGGTGGAAGTGGTGGTTGAAGTGTTTAAGCTGAGATTTGTCTCAACAGTCGAATTCGGCAAACCTAACTTCAGTGTTAAGTCCAAATCGTTGTCCATCTTCACTATCTAAAAATTATGAAGAACATCATTTTTAAATATGAAAAAAAAACAGCAAACATAAGATATGAATAGGGTTTAAACACTTGCTGCATGCTGTGACCTCAAAATAGAAGAAATAAAACAACACTTACCGCAGAAGAGGATCGGATGAAGCAAAATCGATCAACAACGTTAAATTTTTATTTTTGTTTTTCAGATCTAAAACCAATTGATCCACTAATCTTGTAGAGATCGTGTGTTGTTGTTGCTTTGGTGCCTCTATATATATACAAAAAGATAAATATGTGTGCGTTTACAAAGGTATATGTACGCACGTATATAGAGAGAAACAAGGCATGAGAAATGTGATTATCTTCAAATCATGATTGCTACATGACAAATCGAGCTTAATTTTGAAATAAAAGACATTAAATATTTGAAAAAACGGTAAAATTTTGTTTAGGACCAGAACCGAACCATGGAAATAACATGAGAAGACTGAGTGGGAAGATCAGAACTTACAACTAGAGACTCTTTGTCCTTTTATATGTTTTTTTTTATTTTCTTTATTTTAAAATAAAACTTTGTAGAGAAGTTGATCATAAGAAGTGGATTGATTTATATATGATGAACTTAAATATGTTGTTGAATTTATTATGCCTCCTTCAAATCATTTTATGATGAACGTAACCCAATTTCTCATCGAAGTTCGATCTAGTAGTTATCTTTGATGCGACTAGATAACTAATGTTATACCACATCAATTGAAGAAGACGCCTAAAGTGTTTGAGGCAAGCATTCTATTCTATGCAAGTGTATTATATGTTTGTTCAGCTCAATATGAAGAAATTTTGTAAGCTATAAGAATTAGTGTAAGTTAGTTGAGAATTAGGGAGCAAAGGACTTGAGAGTGCCTTATTTGTCTATCAGGGTTATTGGAGGAGATGAGCTAGCTAGTGCCTCAAACCTTCAAACCTTATTTTTTTTATGTTGGTTTGGTGTTGGCCTCACCACATACTATTTTTATGAGAGGTCAGGTAGATCGTTACTCTCCTCTAAAAAAGATTTTGACGGATCTGTTGTCCACGCGTCGCAATTTAGTTAACCACACAAAAAATCATCCAAAAGTTACTTTACGATATTATTAATTATGAAATTTAGACAACTGTAAGTTGCTTTGACTTGAATAACGAAACGATCTATAGTGACTTGAATAACGAAACGATCTATAGTGACTTTAAAAACGAAACGATCTATAGTTTTATTTGCTTTATTTTCAACATATATAAATTTTACCAAAACTATCAATCAACCATTCAAATTATGAATATCTTTCTTTCTTATAGACATGAATTTTACCGGCAATCTTGTCAATACGAGCAAACTTTTTGAACTTTGATTCACTTTGTTTGGGGGATGTTCAAATACATTATCATGATTATACCACACTACCAAAAGTTCAAATATAGTTTGGAGAATATTTTGCATCAAATCAAACCATTCTAGTTAAAATACATATGTGTAATAACTAGTTATGGTTTCTTAAATTTTGTGTTGTTACCTTAAAAACCTATAAAATGGGATAGTTGGAGTATTTTTCTTGAAATCCTATATGTAAATATGTGAATCCATTATTATCATAAGTTCATAAAAAATAGAAAATTTTAAATTGATAAATTTAACAGAAAAAAATATTTTGGATTAGGTTTTTTATAAATTAGGAAACTTTTTCTATAAATTGAAAAGAAATCATGATCCTAACATTATAAATTTATAGAGATTTTACTTATCATTATAGCTTTAGAATTATCTAAGATTAATTTATTTTATATTTTTGTAACCAAAAAAGGTAAATTTCGATGATACCAATCAAAGAATTTATATTTATATATTTTTCTTAAACGTTAATGTTGATAATCCTTACAAGACAAAAAAAAAAAGAATTCTACTTTTTCTTCTTATAACATGTAAAACTTGTGTCAGGTCCAAAATAAAACTTTGTCGTCTGGTCACAAATCTACGGTTACGGTTACAGTAATAACCCGCAAAAAAAGTTGTGTAGAATCGAAAATTACAAAAAGACCCGTTGTTACATGAGCTGAGCTGAGCTGTGTAGGTTAGTGCGAGAGGAGAGAGAGAGAGAGAGAGAGAGAGAGAAAGAGAAATAGAGAGATTTCGACTTTCGAATGTCGAAGATAGTTTTAGGGAACGAGTCACTTGTTGGGTCTTTGACTCCATCGAACAAGAACTCGTACAAAGTGACGAATAGGATTCAAGAAGGGAAGAAACCTTTGTATGCTGTTGTTTTTAACTTCCTCGATTCTCGTTTCTTCACTGTCTTCGTTACCGCTGGTGGTAATCGGGTAAATATTCCAACCTTTTCTAATTCGGAATCAAAGGTTCTTTTTTTTTTTGGGGGTCTGTTTAGGTTTTGTTTGCGACTCTAGGACATTGCCTTTTGTGTTTGATTTTGGATTCTGATTTCTTGCCTTTGATTGAGATTCAAAAATTGAAACTTTGCTTAATGCTTTTTAAAACGGCCATCAATGAATTGTGAAGTGTTTAGTTTCAAGCTTTATGGTATTGGAGATGTTGTGAAAGAGCTATGTTTTGAAAATTTGTTGGAGTGATTTGATTACCTTTTATGCTTGATTTCTTGACCTTGTTTTCAATAAGCCTTCTTATAATGGAGATTTTGTGAACGTTATATGTTTTCTTCTTCTTCTAATCTAACATTGGTGGGAGTTACTTGGTTGCCTTATCCACTTGATTGCTCTATCTTGTTTTCAATGAGGGTTCCTAGTTTAGCTGATACTGGCTCTTTCGGCTCACTATTCTTTGGTCAAAAGATCGGATTCCCGTTTGAGCTCACTTATCTGCGGTTGAAAGATCGGATAGGTTGGCTTAGTGGGCTATGATGTCGTGTCAAATTTCTCAGCTTTCGTTTAAAAACCACTTGGAAATGTGTGGAGTTAATTCATAACCTTCGACACTCAATCAGGTTTCATCCTCTATGCGCTCAATGGTTTTTGGTCGATACCTATATATGGGATTGGCGACTATGATACCATTCGAAAGTTCTCGGGTTCCATTTCTGGAAACATTCGGAAATTCGTGGAGTTAATTTGTAATCTTATCTGCTTGGTTAGGTTCCATTCTCTTTTCAGTGCAGTGGTCCGAACAGTTTTCTGTTTCTGCAGTAAGGTTGTTTGATAGCTTAATGTGAATGTAGGTTTTGAAAGAGTTGTAAAACATTTCACCCTTCCTAGTTTCTGTATAAATTTCAATTGAGTGATTATATGGAGTGTGATACTAGTTAGTAGTTAGCAATATTCTTGAGTCCCCCATAAAAGCTTTAACAAATGGTTCTCTCATTTAATATCTACTTAGCTGAGTAATAAAATCTCAGTACTGCCATTGGTGTATCTCCTATTATGTAGATTACTCTGTACAATTGCCTTGAAGATGGAGCCATATCTGCGTTGCAATCATATACTGATGAGGATGTAAGGAAGTATAAATTTTATAGATTTAATATCTTATCCATGAATTTAAATAAAGTAATGTTTCATTGAGGCCATTTGAGTGTATGTCTATGTGTTCTGGAGTTTAGAAGGAAGAGTCGTTTTACACTGTAAGTTGGGCGTGTGGCGTTAATGGGAACCCATTTGTTGCTGCTGGAGGAGTAAAAGGCATAATCCGAGTCATTGACGTCAACAAGGAGATGGTTCATAAGGTATTATTGCAATTATATAAGCTTTGGAATGACATGAATGAAAAAATGGATGTTCTGTGTATCCTGGGAAATGATTATATAATCTATGCTCGCATATGTGCAGAGCCTTGTGGGCCATGGAGATTCAGTGAACGAAATCAGAACACAAACTTTGAAGCCTCAACTTGTGATTACTGCTAGCAAGGTATACCTCTTGGCTTTCTTTTCTTTCTAAAATATCCTGACATCTATTTGTTGATTGATGTTTTAGAGCTCTTGTGTTTTAATTGGATCAGGACGAATCTGTTCGTTTGTGGAACATTGAAACTGGGATATGTATTTTGATATTTGCTGGAGCTGGAGGTCATCGCTACGAAGTTTTAAGTGTGGTGAGCCAATATGGTTTTTATATTCCCGTAAATAGAATGGATAAAGGATAACAACAATCTAACTCAGTTAGTTTCGTTTAATCATATTAAGAGTCACATGTTAGGAATAACCATCTTATCTTGAAAATTGTAGGATTTTCATCCTTCAGATATTTACCGTTTTGCTAGTTGTGGCATGGATACCACTATTAAAATATGGTCAATGAAAGGTACGATCAAGCACATTTGTTAGGAACCCTTTTGAGAAAAATGGCTTGCTTGTTTGTTTGTATGATCATCTTATTCTTTGGCTGTCTTTAGAGTTTTGGACATATGTCGAGAAGTCATTCACATGGACTGATGATCCGTCAAAATTTCCCACGAAATTTGTCCAATTCCCTGTGAGTATTTTGTTTTCCCTTGTCTTGTATAACAACAGGTGACATACAAGTATCGATGGCCTTTATTGATAACATTACTTCTGTGTGTAGGTATTTACAGCTTCAATTCACACAAATTATGTAGATTGTAACCGTTGGTTTGGTGATTTTATTCTTTCAAAGGTTAATAAGTCAATGATGGTTAATATTCATTTCATTTGGTGGAATATTAAGACACTTACTCTTGTGTGTTCTATCTGATTTTTTATTAGAGTGTGGACAACGAGATCCTGTTGTGGGAACCACAACTGAAAGAGAATTCTCCTGGAGAGGTTAGGATCTCACTTGTGCGCCAAACGTAACAGATGCATTCATTTCATCTTATATTTTACGGATTGAAGTTTCTGTGGTCTGCAGGGTACTTCAGATGTTATACTAAGATACCCGATTCCAATGTGTGATATTTGGTTTATCAAGTTTTCTTGTGACCTCCATTTCAATTCTGTCGCAATAGGTGATCAGAGAGCTCACTAGATACAACTTTGCATTATATATATATACTTTAACATTTCTTATTCATTTTTTGACAAATTTTCTCGCTGGTTTGTTATCAGGTAATCAGGAAGGAAAGATTTATGTCTGGGATTTAAAAAGTTGTCCTCCTGTTTTGATTACAAAGTATGTTAGTTTTGGATTCAGATTTATTCAAATGATCAAGCTTCAACTTTGGTGTCTTTGTCTGTGGTCATGACATAATTCTCTGTTGCCATATAGGTTATCACACAATCAATCAAAGTCTGTAATCAGGCAAACTGCCATGTCTGTTGATGGAAGGTATTATCCATCTTCTCTTTCACCAATGCACTGTAAAATTCATATTTTTTTTTATGACACAATAATTTACTGTAAGTAAAACCAAACATTGGATTCCGACATACTCTGTTTCTTCCATGGGATTGTAGCACAATTCTTGCTTGCTGTGAGGACGGGACTATATGGCGCTGGGACGTGATTACCAAGTAGCGGTCTGATTCTTGTAGGAATTGATGAATTAGGAATGCTGAGAATTGAGATATCCATTCTTTTGTTGTAACTCTGATCTGGTTTATTTGGAATAGTTTATTTCTACGCCCTGAAACCTCGAGATGCTCGCTATAGCCTTGTAAACGTCAACATTTGAACCACATTGTTAACCTCTATGAAATTTTCACTTATTCTCATATGCTCAATACACAAAGCTGTATCCTGGAGCTTTATTGCAGGAACCACTTTCCTGCATAAGCTTTCTAGTCTTCAAAGCACTGTCCCATGCTCCATTAGCTGCGTATACATTGGCCAAATTAATATAATTTACTGGTTTCTTCGGTTCCATATTCAGAAGCTGCGTGGCTGCTACTTTACCAAGCTGCACGTTCCCATGGCGCCTGCACGCATGAAGAAAAGTTCCCCATGCTGATGAGCTCAGACTTGTTATACCCTCTTTACTTCTTATCAGTTCATAAGCTTCATCCAAGTAGCCACCACGTGCAAGCATATCTATGATGCAAGATAAATGCTCTTCTCGAGCTTCAATACCATGCTGGTTGATCATTGTGTTGAAAATCTTCCAGCCTAGTTCAGTGTGTCCTGTATGGCTACAAGTAGAGAGTAGAGAAAGAAATGTTACGTCATTCGGTTTGATCCCTTCATGCTCCATTCTGTTATAGAGATCAATTGCTTTCTGAATAGTTCCATGTCTTCCATATCCTGCAATCAAAGAGGTCCATGATCTCACATCTTTCTCTTTTATCTCATCAAAAGCAAGGATAGCATCCTCAAGTTCTCCAGACTTTGCATACATATCTATTAGCGAGTTACCCAAAGCAACATCAAATCTAACTTGGGAGGATTTTAAGGCGAAACCATGGATCTGTCTTCCAATGGTTACAGATGCGATGTTGGTGCATATTTTAAGCATCGAGGATACTACAACTTCGTCCATCTTTGTTTTCATCAGCATCATCTCTTTGAAGATATCAAAGGCATAATCACTTTTGCAACTGGTCTGCTGTGTGAAACCTGTTATTAGAGCAGTGCAAGAGAACAAGTCTCTTTTTGCGGTACCCTCATATAGCTTCCAAGCATTGGCAATGCTACCACACTTCACATATGCATCAATCAGAGACCTAATCAGTGCACTTGACCTTCCAAAACCCAGCTTGATTGCTAATCCATGTAATTCACCGACTATTTCAAGACACTTAACTACTATCGAAGCTCTCAAGAGGCTTCCAAAGGTGAAGCAGTCTGGCCTCTTCCCTAACACAGAACAACACAAGAAGGCTATTTAAACAAACTGAGTCATAAAGTCTTTGAAGTATGTGGGGATAATAGAAAAAACTAGCTCACCTTCCGAGAGCATTAACTGAAACAGACTAAACGCAGTATATGCACAAGCATTGGCGGTATATCCATCAATCACTGCATTCCAAGAAACCAAATCCCTCTGGTTCATTAAATCAAACAGGAGACGAACTTCCTCCATCTTTCCACACCTGGCATAAAGAGAAAGTAAGACACTCTTCAGAACTAAATTTCCTGCAAATTTCCCTTTCTCCACACAACCTTGTATCTGCATCCCTTCTTTAAGACATCCCAAATCCTTGCACGATTTCAAAACACTCCCGTAAGTGTGCTGATTAGCCCTAACATCTTCCCGGTGCATCTGTTTGAACAACAGCAACGCGTCCCTGTGATATCCACATCGAGAAAACCCCGAGATCATAACTGTCCAAGAAACCACATCTCTCTTAGGAATTCTATCAAACAGTTTACGTGCGTGTTTCACATCTCCCTGTTTCGAGTACAAATCTATCAACGTATTGTTCAACTGGAGATTGCAGCCGAACCCATTTGTAACCGAATCCCCATGGATCAACAGAAGTTGTTTCTTGACGATTTGGTAGCTGCCTAATTTAAGAGCTTTGAGGTACAAAGATGGACTTAATAAGTAAGGTTTAGAAACAACCAAATTCTCCCCATAAGCAGCCAGCATTATCCAATATTCAACAACTGTAGGAGACGATAAAAGTAAGCCCTTTTGATTTTATAGATTGAAATCAATCATGTACAAGTTCTACAGTAGAACGTAAAAACCAAAGCTTTCTTCTCCAAAATTTCTCAAAACTTTTCAATCCAAAAAGACAGTTCCTTTTTGGGTAATAACAACAAGTACAAGTATTGTTATGCATACACAAATTTCGTTTCCATCGTATATAAAGGATACAAAAAATTTCCCGCTTCAAGTAGTGATTCTCACATCTCTCTATATATGGCTATATACATTAAAAAATTAGCTACCTTCTTCACTTCTTCTTGTGAGTATGAATTTCAGATTTGGGTTCGTAATTTAGCCATTAAGCTCTGCAAACACTCGAGTTTCTGCTTGAGCTCGTGGGCGTGATTCGCTGCAGATTCTGAATCGCTGAGATCAGAAACCAGAACTGAACACTTGGCCTCTAACTCCATTGACGCTTCTTCGATGGAAGAAATGGTAGATTCTAGGTTTGTACGTGACGACATTTCTCTCATCGAGTCTGATGATACAGCAAAAGGTGAGATTTTTGGACTTCCTGCTCTGCTCGCTTTTGGAGAGAACATCTTGTCAAAACCTTCACTTCCTGCAACAAAGAGATATAAAGTTATAAGCAAAAAAGGCAATTCCAAGAACCTGGAAAGTTGCAACTATTTATCTTAAATAGATGCAGAAGAGTTTGAGATAAGTATACCAAGGTTGCTTAGTTGATTTAGAGTCGCCTGGCCAATAGATTCTTCGAGCTTTAGCACACGTAAAACCCCTGCGACTATCCTTCCCATTGCATCAACTTCAGATTTGCACAAGAATGTCAAATGTTGCAACTCATCCTTTGTAACAACTGCCTCAACCTGCAGCACCAAGGACAAAAACCTCTATCGCAAAACCTACTTTACAATAGAAAGAAGCGAGAAGCAATGATATCAGCTTCACTTACAGGTTGCTTAACAGAGAATTTCAGACTTTCTGCCACCCAGTTCAATGAGTCATCATGAACAGATTTGTCATCCGAAGCCACAATGTTAGCTTCAACGTTTACCCCTCCAAGCACGTGACCATTTTCGTAAACTCCATTTGTAGGCAAACGATTACAAGAATCGGTCCCTTTCTGCATTTGAGGCTTCACTGTCTGTAGACCTTCGACACTGACCTATAAAGCATTTCCCAAATAAAATTTAAAAGGCTCAGTAAAGGTCCATAACGCTTATGGCATTCAAGAGTGTAATTTTGAAAGACAACAGAAAGATAGAGGTTGCTTTGAGAGTTACATTTGGTTTTTTTAAGACACCACCAAACTTTCCTTCAAGTGGAGTGGTTATCATTAACCTCAGAAAGTTCAGGGAAAGAAACGAAGCTGTGGAAAAATAGGAAGTACAGATACTTACAATAATTGAGTCCACAGGATACTTGCGAGCATTATACTGATTTCCTGTCCCTTTTGGATCCACATTCTTCGGTGTACTCTTGGCTATTACTCGGAATGTACGGAAATTTGTGTGCCAACACCTCTCTTCTCTGCCAATATCTTCATTATGCAGAATTCGTGTGCCAACATCTTCTCTGCCCTCCAAAGCAAACAACCAGTCTCTTAACTCAACAGAGACATCAATGTCATCTGGCCTTCCCAAATGTGGGAAACCATCGCCATTCCAGTTTCCTGGAGTTCCATCTAGATGCATATATTAGCAAGAGTGGTTAGCAAAACTTTAAGCTGTAAACAAGAATAATTTGCATAGAGGATACTGTCACATGAACTATATTAAATGGAAACCATCAAGATGGGCTTTACCCTTTTTCCTGTCATCAATTATAGATGCTTTGAAAAGTTTTGACAAAGGCCCAGAAGATAAATGTTCTAATCCTCTAGATAAACCCTCTCCTGGACCACCATCATGGTTCAGAATTCCGAATCTGTGTAATAGAGCTTCAGCATAGCTCATTCCTCCCCCTAGGCGTACACCTGAAATGCAAGCCACGATACTTACACTGTGGCACTCCATATCCTTTTCACTGAGGGGAATCACATGTGTTATGCTTATGTCTAGAAAAGGTGTCGTTAGAGTGCTGCCACTTTGCCCATCATGTCTTCCGTTGACAACCCAAAAGACACGCCTCAGTGGGGTAGACCCATTACAGCTAACTAAGTGACCATTCCAGCTATTCTCATGTTCATCTTGTATGTCAGTATCTACACAATCTACCTCAATATTTTCCCAGTATATGTTGGAGGATACTGCAATAGCGCCACCAAGGGTTCTATGAGTTACCTTCACAGAAAGATCTTTGCCAAGAAACTGAACGAGTGGCATATCCTGAGTACTAGTAAAGGAAGACTCAAGAAACTTGAGCTGCAGATCCTTCAAAGCCAATTTTATAGCAGTATCACTAGGAACATTCTCCAACAACCCTCCAGTCAAGGAAACAGTATTCTGGCGTTTGCTTTCTTTAACAATTGAAATTTTTTCACTGACCTTACCAAAGTAAGAATAGAGGTCCAGAACAAAAAATAATTGCTCCACTGAAGCACGCGAAATATATTGCTCACAAGCAACTCCTATGCGAACAATACCACCAGGAGGAGGAATTGTTATCAGTGGCTTTCCATCCGCAGATACCATAGCAACTTCTATAGACATGTCTTTTCCTTCAACACAATTCCACAAACCCATTTCCGGACCACGAGAGCTCTGACGTTCAGTTGAGTTGGGAGATGTTTCCAAAGCCAAACTAAAATGTGAGGCTCCAGCTGTCCATTTCTTTTGGCTGGCGTCAATAGGCTGTCCCGGCCAAAGACAGAAGCAAGCAGGATCCTTTTCCAGGTTTAGTAGCCGAACTTTTAGGGTAGGTGACTCCGCAAAAGATAAGTTTTCAATATGAAGCCTCGCCCCAACGAAGGAGTTTTTTACGGAAAGGTTTTCTTTGACTGCTGAATCTTCGAAATTACTCATGTCTAATGGAACAGAGACATCTAACTCCCTCAGGGTGAAAAGAAGAGAGTTAACAGAGTTATCGGGTAAAACATCACCGGGATTCACAACAATGCCATCAGCCAGAAAAGAAGAAATTCGTAAACAAGCTTCTTCCTGAAGATGAACCTGAGAAAGGATAGAAGACGAAAATGGTGAAAGATTTGTTTAAAAAAAAAGAAAATTTTGATCTTTACGTTATATACACATACCATGAGTGGTTGGCACTGGATAACTGTCTTTGAGGAAAAGTGTGGGGGTTTTGGGGATGGCTTGACCTGAAGAGAATGTAGGGAGATCAAGGGTACATCCTGAACTATTTGCCACGGGCCATTGTCCAATGGATATATAAGAGGACAAAAATTCTTGGCTGTCCCAAAAATATGGAAGAAAAATTAATCAACATATAAATGTTTAAACAACTGACAGGGTCACAATAGAAGAATTTTTATGTAATATACAGCCGGGAATTGTTAATACCAAATTCGGGAACTGCAAGGTCTTCGGCAGCAGCTTTCATAGATGGTTGGACTAGAGCACAAGGAGAGCGCGAAAAAGCATCCCTGAATTGAAACCATAACTAATTATGCAAGAACTTTAAATCCAAATGTGTGAACCAACACATGCACAAGAAGATTATTAAAAAAATTAAGTTAAATATAAACAGCAAATGCATGTGCAACAAAGAAATGAAAAAGGAAAAGAGCTAGCTTCAAAGAACAACATAAACAGAGTACTAAGCAGAGTATTTGAAGTTTCCACAAATCTTTTCTATATATATCGATGACATACACTATCAAGGAAAATTTTGGCTTCCACAAAAGAGGCATCAGAAACGAAGATATTGACTATGCAGAAAGGAATTCGCAACTACGACAAACTTAATGCTCTGAAGATCAACAGAAACTACATAGTGCTCAGAGATAATTCTAGTAAAATGGAAAAGAAAACTACTGATATGATGACAGGGAGCCTAGCTCAAACTTTTAAAAGGCTATAAACAGATTACTCTAATCAGGAGTTTTACTATTTATCCCGACATAAGCATTTTCACCTTAAAAATAGCCCACCAATCAAAATCTTGGTTAAATAGTTAGCTGATTCTCCATCCGAAACACATGCCTGCAAGTATATATGCCAGTGATACCAGTTTTCAGCAACACATAACATGATATAATTCATAAAGATGCTTAGCGTACTGAAATTAAATAATCTGGTTCATGATTTCCCAGAACTGAGAAAGTTTCATAGTGCATAATGTGAATGCAGGAAACAAAATCATGCTAGTTACGAGATCAAATTCTAAGGAGAACATACTCGAGAAAAAAGGAGTGACTGCATGAGTAGTTCCAGTTGAAATTCTGAAATGCAGAAAGGTGGAAAATGTTAAACCCCAAAACAAGAGTAATGATTTCATGCAAGACCGCACTCTTAGCTAACATGAGGTTGAGGTGAGACATATTAACTAACCAGCATCTTTAATGCACAAAAATACATGGTCCACAAGAACGGAGACAAGAGAACGTCCTGCTGCTTCAGCAGACTGGTGGAGGCATACCATTAAAGAGTGAGGAAAAGAATAAAAGTACACTGTTTTCTTTATAATCCACTGAGAATTAAAATTTAAGACCTGCTGAGATTTTGGATCCACATCTCCGCGGTTTAGGCATAAGTACATTCCAGTTAGAAAGCGGAGAAGAGCGCGCAACCCTGTTTAGAAGTATAATGAGTAGACTTAGTTTCTATCTACATCAACTTGTTATCTCAAAACTAAGAGAAAGTGTTATCAAACCTGGTTCACTTAACGCCGGACAAACAGCTTCTGGAATGTGCAACTGAACTTCAAGCCCTAGTGGACTGTTTAGCGCTGTTCTTTGAACTGTAATCTGAACAAGAGGCCACCATCAGGGCTAATAAATTAGGCACCAAAACATCTAATGCATTCAAGTATGTTTCTCTAATATCATGTATACAGGTAAAAGAAAATCGAAAACAAATGTTTACATATGCTTGGCCAGAAATTCCTTCTAAAAAGCGTTCTCCACCAAAGAAAACTCGTTTTGCACCATCATCATCTCTGAGATTTGCTTCTTCTGAGCGGGCTAAATTAGCATCAGTGAACATATCAGGATGTGGTAGAAGATCAATTGATAAAGCTTCCCATTCAAGTTTCTGAGAACGAACGGGATATGCATCACATGTAGAAAAACAAATCACATCAGGAGTATTATCTTCAAAGAAACTTAACAGGTACGAAAAAAAAAGTACTTTTAAAAGCAAGCACCATGGAAATAGATAGATATTTGGCACTGTTTTCCTTAAAACGGAATGCTAAATCTTTGAGCCATCAAGAATATAATATCAAGGGAAACTAGCTAACGAGTGGCATCAATACCTTAAACAAATAAATAAATCCTGTGTTAGTAGAGAAGTCCCTTGCTTCTTTCAGATTTACAACCTGTAAATGGAAATTCATTCAGAAATACCATTTCTCCCAGAAAGATTTATCTAACAACATGATCGCAAATATCACCTTCCAACTCTCATTAGTGGTATACAGAACAAGGTTACGTATTGTAATAGATGCCAGCGGAGCAGCCCTAGATACAAAGTATAAGAGCTTAGAAATACATAAGCAATAATTCAAGGCACTTAAAATTAATCCCCGAGTAGATGAAAATGAAAAGGAAATATTTCTCAGGTAGGAGTGTGAAAGGCATAAATTATAAAATAACCAGAATTATGGATCAAAGAACCCTAACTCCCAAGTAACGAGATTGGAACACCCCGCAGATATGAAGCTAAACCTCAAATTGATAGAAAATGGGTGCAGTAAAAGTAACTTACCAGGCTGCCCCTCCTTCGCGGTGAGCACCACCTCCAGTTTCAAGAAGAAGATTGACCACCTTAACTTGTAAAGTCATTCCGTCTGCAATCTGATTGAGATAATAAAAGATAATTGCACAAGTAGCTATATATTGGAAATGAATAGAACTATAAACCAGAAGAAAGACAATCTGGCAAGTTGACATCATTGCCACGACAAAACAAAAGGAAATGCATAGCTAGTCTTCAACCAAATGTGCAAGAAAGACCGATAATGAACCAAGCTCAAAACCACCTACCTAACTACAGAGTGATCGAAACCAGAACCAATACAGCCTATTTCCTCATTGTTGCATTTTTAGCCTACCCACTAAAATCTATTGAGATTTACAATACATACATATATTGGACAAAACATTATCAGCATCTCCCTAGTAAATAAAATCCCAAGGTGAGATGGAAATTATATTCTTCTACTTATGGAGAATATGGCCCATGGTAGTTATTAGTTTTGTTTGCAAAAAAAAAAAAAAAAAACTAGTGCCTCCATATTGACTAAGTAGAAGAGATACCGCACCTTGTCAGCGAATCCATAACCATTACTTTTTCCAGAGGCGGTAGGAGACTGAACACTGAAGGAAAAAAAAAAAAAAAAGTGAAAGACTCAATAATATTCAGGGAAATCAAGGAAAGCCTCAGGTAAGACAGGGCAGAAAGGAAAACAAATGAAGTAGGGGATTCAGTACCTGCTTGGACCCTTTGTCACATCAGCATCAGGATTTTCTTCAAGAACAAGATCGAGTTTATCGATTTGCACAACTACAGGTTCCGTTTGTACATTACTGACATACGGAAGCTGTATAAAGAGGAAATGGGAGAAGGACATATTAATGCTTATGAACAATAATATTAGGCCATACTCGTAAATAGAACCATACATCAAATTTAACAGAGCTATAATTTCCTACGGACAGTCCCGTCTACATCGTCACAATTCCATTACCCGCGAGAAATTGTCACAAAAATCAAAGCTATGTTCTTAGCAAATCCTAAATATATCTGGTAAAAGATGGAAACTACAGATATGCACCTCAGGATTATGGCCTAATTTTTCAATGAATTAATCTCAAAATCAAGAAAAAATAGACTTAAAGATGGACAGCCTCTGCTACTATCCCCAATTTCACATTTATTTATACTCGTTTCAAATTGGAAACAAATACACTTAAGAATGAGATGAGTTCAGGACAAACCATGATTTCCAATTTTCCAACTTTGGCAGTAGTCACACTAAGTGCGGGTGGCAAACCCATACTGGCATGTATAGCCTCACCATTAATGTCTGCAACAAACAAAAATCTAAATCAGAAGGATACACAAAAACACAATTTTTTTATCAGTAAAGAACTCCGAGTTGAAAACAAATTAACAACAAAAAAAAAAAGGGACCTAGATTAGAAAGCTGAGCGGTACGGCCTTGAAGCTTGAACTGATCTCTGGTGAATGATTTGAGCCAATACTTGAGAGTATACTCCAAGGCTCGAGCCAGTATCGACTCCATTTGCTGATCCTGTGTCTCGAATCAACAAAATGATGGATCAGCAGCAGCTCATAGACTTTGCCGATCACGGTGATCCCAGATCCGAGAAATTGGGTTTCTGTAGAAAAGCAAAAGACGTGGAATCGAGAATGTTGCGTCGTTAGGACATTAGAGATTTTGTTCTGTAATTAAAAATAAAATAAATTAGAAAATAAAGACTGTAACTTATCAAATGTGTGTGTTCTCATGGGAGAATAGGAAATCTTGGAGATGAGTGGCACGTTAGAGGCTGTTCGGTTCGCACGTGTGAAGATATATGACCGACTAGTTATATTATTGAAGTAGAGAGACCTTGAAAGAGTAGTGTGTAGTATTACCATCCTCATCATGTCGGCCATTATTAATGGATGGATGAAATATATCTCAAGGATTTGGTTTCAAACTTCCAAACCTAGTTTTGGACACTTTTGATTCAAGTGTAGTTATGTTTTGGAACAATGGTATTTGCCACATTTAAGCTAAAACTAATCATCAATCATCAAAATTTGGCTACTATGGCCAAAACATACTATACGAAGAAGATTGAAAAGTGTAAAACCAAAATGAAACTCTAATCGTCCATCACCAAGTTCAGAGCCTCAGAGGATTTGCTTTCAAACATCATCGTTTATGTTATGTGTATATTTTGGAACAAAGAGAATTTACCACATTGAAGCTAACCATCAATTATGAAGCATGGGCCTTCATCTGTAATAATGCGTCTAATAGGCCCAATAAAATAGGAAACGTATAAGATGTGCCATCGTCTCACTTTAGGGTTCTTTAAGTGTCTCCTATACCAAAACCTATGGAATGAATGCCTCCTCTGGAAGAAACCAGTAACCATAAATTAAAAGGAACAGAGTTTTTGATATCTGACCAAGATTTCTCTGTGCTACCTCGATTGATCCTAGCTTGTTTCAAACGATGATCATGAAGATGTCAAATCTTCCAAAGGATTTGGTGGAGGAGATTCTCTCTAGGGTTCCGCTTATATACCTAGGAGCACTGAGATCTACTTGCAAAAGTTGGAACGCTTTATCCAAAACTAGGAGCTTTGTAGACAAGCACATCAACAAAGCAGCCATATCAGGGGAAAAGCAGTTTCTGATGATCACGCAATTCAATGTTCGTTTGCTCGGCGCCAGTCTCGATACAAGTGAAAACAACAATGTTGATCTATCTATACAGCAGAAAGCTAAAATTACTAGCCGAGGTAAGCCAGCAGCTGATGTATTCTATAAAGCTAAAGTTATTCACTGCAACGGTGTATTCTTAGGTGTACAAGGGAACATGCTTGTGGTTTGGAACCCCTATTGGGGACAAACAAAATGGATCTTAGCAAGACCTCCTCACGACCTGCCGAACATGCAAGAACAGTATGCTCTCGGATACGACAAATCCAGCTGTAGTCATAAGATTTTGAGGCTTTTAGGTATTACCGTTAAGTGTCTCGATATCTACGACTTGAGCGCTAAGTCATGGAAGATTCCTGATGGCACTCTTGAACACGATGTAGAGTACATGCGAGATGGCGTGTCTTTGAAGGGAGATACTTACTGGTATGCTTTTGATAAAGGATCAAGAGATGCTTACTTATTCGCTTTTGATTTTACAAGAGAGATTTTTGGACCGCGTCTGCCTCTGCCCTTCAATAAAGTGCCTATGCCGTTGAATGAAGGTTATGCGACTCTATCTGCAGTCAAAGAAGAGAAGCTGGCGGTGTTATTACACCTGGGAGTTACAATGTATATTTGGGTTACGAACAAGATTGAGCCTGATGAGGTGTCGTGGAGCATCTTCTTAAAACTTAATATGCAACCAAGTGTTCGTTATCACTATGATCTTTTCTTGATTGACGAGGAAAAGAAAGTCGCAGTTGTTTTTTGGAAAGACGGGCCAGCGTGGTTTCAAGTTAAACCCACTTACGACGGAGCTTACATCACTGGAGAGAATGGTTATGTCAAAAGTGTAAATCTCGGTAAATCTCCAAACACACTAGAGCTTTCCCGTCGTTTGTGCTCTTATGTTCCAAGTTCTATGAAAATCATGTAACGAATATATAAATTCGTCCGTTTTTACATTTTCATTTTGATCGCATCTTCTTTGAACAAGATTTATCAACAAATTATGTGTAAATTATTTCTCATTTATTCGTCTTATGCAACATGGGTGAGAATTTATTCAATTTACAGTTTACACAACAGACGATATGATGACAATGTCGAGCAAGTTGCATTCAAATGTTTAGAGACAGAGTAACAAAACTGACATGAGACTTTATATAAGGTTCAGAACAAAAACATGAGTCTGGCTTCGTTCTTTTTTTTTTGGAGAAACGAACACACAATGGATCTTGACTTTGCAATGCCAAGTTTTACTACAAAACAGTCCCTCTGTTTGCTTTATTTTTGGGTTCATTACTGCCGAAGTATATATAAAGCAGGGACGGGTTTCGTAAACCGACCCAAACCAAAATAAATGTTTTGTCAATTACACGATCGGTTTTGTAACATTTGTGCGAATTTCTCATTTGAACGACCTTATCCTCTTTCTCTTCTTTTTTCGCATCATCGTTCATCAGCCATGGCTTCCTCGACTCTCTTCAAACTCAATACACAGACATTCAAAGCTCTGAACCCATCTTCCCATTCGTTATGTCCTCCAAAATCCAGAATTTTCCATCTTCATTTCTCTAAATCACTCTCACAGCAACAACATTCAAAGCTCAACCACAAATCCACAACTACTCGTTTCTTCGCTCCTCTCTGTTTCTCTCTTCCTTCACCTTCTTCTCCTCCCATTTCAAAAGAAGAAGCCATTCTTCAAGCCAAGACTTGTCTCTCTTCTTGTCTCATCAAACCCTTAACACCCAAAGCTCGCTTCCCCTAAACTCAAGAAGCTCAAACAACCAAGATTCCGTCTTGAAATCCCAATCCTTGACGATGATTCTCCTTCCTCTCTCTCTCAGCTCGCTTTTTCGATCTTCCATGACTTACCCATCTCGAGAAGAGGCTCCCCCAATGTCAAGCTTCTCTTCCTCTGGCCTGACCCTTCTTCCCTCGATTCCGCCGTTAAAGCTTTCCGGTCTGACTCTATCAACCACATTGCCATGTCTCCGGTTTCAGACGCTGTCATCAAAGCTCTGAGATCAGCTGACGTGGCGGTTTTCATGGCGCCTGAGAGAACGCAGCTGGAAGATGTGAAGACGGCGAGTGAAGCTTTTTCTTCTAAACCTGTGGTGATGATCAATCCGAGATGGTTGTTCGAGGAAGAGAAAAGCTTTGGCGATGAACTCAATGGCTTTATTGGTTCCTTTGAAGTGATATATGCGTTCACAGGTTTAGAAGTGAGAGGACTGTTGAGTAAGAGAAAAGGAGTGATCTTTAAGTGTGTGAGAGATGGTGTTGTGAGTGGAGAGAGATGGAACGTTCTTGTTGAAGAAGAGGAAGGCAATGGAACTTTGAAAGTGGTCTCACAGTTCAAAGCTAGGCCATCAATGGAAGAAGTTGAACTTGTTCTGTATAATCTGATGGCTATGAATTCGCCTATCACCAAATCAGCTAAGTTTCTCAAAGATTTGGTTTCAAACATCACTGGGAAAAAGTAATTTGGGTTAGGAGTCCAATGTGTAGTATGTCTTGTTTAGTTTTCACTTTTCCATGAATTAAAAGAGTTTCCTGTAAAGAATCGATTTTTGCATAGAGAAGTTGGACCTAATCATCAATCATCCAACTTGGCATTGAGTGAGTGTTACAGGGTGAGCTTTGATTCTTTAAACATTATTGCCTGGAGTTGCTCCTTCTCCACATTCAGCTTCTGTTTGACACCACATTGACTTAGAAGTCCACAAAGTACTTCACTTTATGCAATTTGCCAAGTAACTGTTCCACATACGAATATCAAACCTTGTCTGTCATCAGAGGTTATCTAATCCAATATGAGCCAAGTCCTAAAACCTAATGTGCTAATGCCAAATTTGAAAATCAAGAACTTAAAATGGAGACAGGGTAAGGGCCAATGCTGAGGGAGAATTAGTAGTCAGTCAGCCAATCACACATCAATTTCTCTATCCATCCTTTACATGTCGAAACCAGAGGTACTCAAATTTGACACTGCAGCGATACTTCTTATGCCAGCATAGTCCCAATAACTTGGTACAAAGCAATGAACAATCAAATTTTATGTTATTTGGGGACGACTAACCCCTTATATCAGAGAAAGTTTTATGGTGAACAGATCAAAACCTCTTTAATTCGGATTAACGAGTATGAATGGCAAATTAAATTAAAAATATCATATATTAGCATAACAAATTCAATATCATATCATAAGACTTTAGAATATTTCTTTTAAAACAAAGTGGACTCTACACCAGACCGCTAATGAAACCAAATCAAACTAAACCAGATCTAATTAGAACCTAAGAAGCTACACATTAATTAACTAGCAAACCACAACAACACAATAACTAATCTAATCTTCATCAGCGGAAGGTTTTGAAGCACCAGCCTTCTTGGGGAGAAGAAGGTTGTGAATGTTAGGCATCACACCTCCATTAGCAATCGTCACATCTCCAAGTAACTTGCTCAGCTCCTCATCGTTCCTCACCGCGAGCTGAATGTGACGTGGCACAATCCTAGTCTTCTTGTTATCCCTCGCTGCGTTTCCAGCCAATTCCAAAACCTACACAGATCCAATTTCCAAACCGGGTTAACAATCAGGGCTTTTACGAAATTGATAAGATCCGAAGAACTAGGAAAGAGGATGATAGCTACCTCAGCGGCGAGGTATTCGAGAACGGCGGCTAAGTAAACCGGAGCTCCGGCACCAACACGCTCGGCGTACTTGCCGTTCTTCAGAAATCGAGCGATACGACCAACGGGGAATTGAAGACCGGCTTTGCTGCTTCTCGACGTCGCCTTCTTCGCAACACCAGATCCGAGAGTCTTGCCACGACCAGCCATTTGTGATATTAGAGGAGAGAGATAATTACAAAAAAAAAAAAAAAAACTGAAAAATTCAAAGCGAGGGATTGGTACGAAAATTATACAGTAGAAACAAGACTTTTGGGTTTATATAGTGCGTAGAGAGACGGTTGTATTTCGCTTGTCCAATAGAAAACAGTCACACGGATCGATATGACTACCGTTAGATCAGATTAAGCATCGACGGTTTATAATTCACTTTTGGATTTACCATTTTTTGTTGTTGTTTTCAACTAAATTCTAGTAGTAGTGGATGTGGATCCAAGTTAAAAACTGGTTTGACGGAAATACCCTTTCGAGTTTCAGTTTTTAACTTTTGACCCAAATTATGTCAAAAAGAAAAGTTTTTATTAATCGCATTTCTAAGCCAAGATGGGTAGTATAAATAAGCCTAAGATATATTCACAACTATTGTATAGTTTTAGCATATATGATTCTAAATATGTGTAGTAAATTTAGCTTGGCATATTAAAAGAAGACGCGTAAATATATTCAATCATAGTAATAATTAGACGATTACAGAATAATATAACCATTTATAGAATCATATGTTTTTTTTACTTTAAAATGGAATTATATGATGTGGCATACTAAATTTCAAATTGACAACTCATAAAACATTAAATAAGATGACATATTTCAAACTAATTATATTAGCAGATTAACTTAGCCAGAGTAGTCAACAATATCTTCAAAAAGGAAAAAATTACAAAAAAAATATTAACAACCGGCGAAGAGATATAAATACGACAAAGAAGACACCTCCTTCTTCGCGTCAAACTAAATCAAGAAGGCCTCCAATTCCAAATTCACAAAACACTGTAAAAAACAAAAAAAATTATGGAATCTCCGGAGGAGAGGAACGGTAATGACGTACGACAACCGCTGCTGGATAAAAATCCGGCGAAGAAAGAAGCGGAGGGAGAGGAGAGATTATGCATAGACGAGATGTTGCAGAGATACTGCGGCGAGTTCGGGAGGTGGCAGATGAGACACTTCGTGCTGACGTGTCTCGCTTGGGCTTTAGAGGCGTTCCACACCATGGTTATGATCTTCGCCGATCAAGAACCGGACTGGAAATGCGTCGTCGGGTCGGATTGTCGGGTCGGGTCTTCTACTTGCGGGTTGGATCCGAGTTCTTGGGAATGGTCGGCCGGTAAAGGAAGCTCCACCGTGTCGGAATGGGGATTGATTTGCGGCGAGAAGTATAAGGTTGGTCTCGTTCAAGCTCTCTTCTTCGCCGGATGCATGATCGGTATGTTTTTTTTTTTTTTTATCTCACTTCTAAGTTTTGTTTTTTTGGTTTGAACCAAACAAGAAAATAACAGCTGTTGCTTGAAAATGTTTATTTCACGTAGAATTCAGTTGTTTTTCTTTAGGTGAAAATATATTAGATGGTTTAGATCAAAATAACTAAATAGCTAATTCGATAATGACGAAACTGTTTCGATGAAACTGTTTTTTTATATGGATTAATCTCCTTTCGAGATTATTCGATAGTTAATGAATATATTAGCTGATTTAGTTGTTAATTTGTGCTTGGTATATTTGATCAAGCTAATAAATTAGTTTATTTCGATGGCACGTTGGTTTTCGAATCTAAATCATTCAGAATCGTACCACGTGGCTGATCACATGATTTTTGGAAAATAACACTAGAGTAGTTTCACACAAAAAAAAAAACACTATAGAGTAGAAGAAATATCAATATACCTCACATTTCTTTTTATATATTAGAAAATTTTGGATGATAAGATTACAAGGCGGTCCAAATTCACGCACACAACAAAAAGTGATTGGTGATAAAAGAAAAGATAGACTTTGATTCATATGCTTGGTGCTAAAAAAACAAAAAATAAAAATAAACAACAAAAATTGACAAAAATGTGTATTGTATATATGATATACGTGTGACTGAGTAAACGAGTTGATCACATTCTATATTATCTTGTTAGCTTTTTTGGTATCTTTAGTTTATTGGTACAGAATGATATCGTTGAATTGATCTGTAAAGTTGAAAACACACACACAAATATCTCTGCGTGGCATGGCGTGCGCTTGTCTGTAAATAAACATTGGGTTATACACCGCTTCGGTCATGATTCACCCAAACATCATTTCACGCATACAGCCACATCTCTTTTATTTTCTTCAAGTATCTAGGTTTTAAAGACAATTGTTTTCTATCAGAATTTTCTATGAAAGTTGATTTTTTTTTTGGTAAAATGAAAGTTGATTTTTTAATCAAAGTTTGAAATATGTTCGACTTTTCAATGTTTTTGTAGATCATGTTTATGGTGTTGATTACACTATTAGTTTAGTTTTTATAATAGTGATATATTGACGTTTACGTTTGGAAAAAAACGTGTAGCAAAAAGACATTTAGGCTTACATGTCTAGTTGCACAAACAAACAAACCTCGTTACTTATATTGGCTCATTAATAATAAAAAACTAAAAGTTGCATACCTTATTTTGGCTTATGTTTACATTAGTTTATAAAAGAAAAATGGACAGTTTAATTTGGCTCTGGATAATCCAATCTCTAAATTTGATGCCTGATCATAGGATATACGAAGGAATATCCAATTAGAGTTGCATACTAGTCAATTTATTTTTACATGTAACTGGCATGAAAGCGTCATCTTCCATTGAAGTTGAAGATATCGTTTTCATATCAATAGAAAATAAGATTTTGAAACATTGGTCCCAGCATAACTCATAAAGCACTTCGCTTTTGTATACAACACATGCCTTATGGTCCCTTTACGAACTTGTCAAATTAAATATTTGTTTCAAGTCTCTAACTAAAGCTTTATGTATATATATTTTTTTGCTACAAACATGGCCTAATTAATTATAGTGTGTTGACTTAATTATGTACAGGCGCAGGAGTATTCGGACATCTATCAGACTCAAAGCTAGGAAGAAAAGGTTCATTAACAGTGGTCTGCATCATCAACGCAATATTCGGAATCGCCACGGCCTTTTCCCCAAACTACTGGACCTACGTGGTTCTCCGGTTCTTGACAGGTTTCAGCACCGGTGGTGTTGGCCTAACAGCGTTTGTCCTAGCCACCGAACCCATAGGACCGAGCAAACGCGGTGTAGCCGGAATGTCAACGTTCTACTTCTTCTCTGCCGGCATTGCACTTCTATCCGGCATTGCTTACGTTTTCAGATCTTGGAGGGAGCTTTTCATAGTGTCTTCGTTACCGTCTCTCTTGTTCCTACTCATCGTTATCCCATTCATCTCCGAGTCCCCGAGGTGGTATCTCGTGAGAGGCAAAGTAGACGAGGCGATGAAGTTGATGCATTTGATAGCTAAAACGAACGGGCGTCACATTCCCGCTGGTGTCACTCTTGCTCTAGACGACGACTTGGAAAACAACAACGGCGAGAGGAACAATACTGCTGTCGAGGGTTCTCTCAAAGATGTTTTACTGTCGCCTCTCACGCGGATAAGGCTTCTCATTACAGTTGCCATAAGTTTCACGGTCTCCATTGTGTACTACGGACTAAGCCTCAACGTAGTCAACCTCAAGACTAATCTCTACCTCAACGTCTTTGTCAACGCGGTGGCAGAGATGCCTGCATTTGCTATAACAGCTGTTTTGCTAGACAAGTACGGGAGGAAACCGCTGTCCATAGGGACGCAGTGGTTCAGCTGCGTGTTCTGCCTCGCGGGATTCGCTGTATGGGGAGCTGGTCCATGGAAGTCTGTTAGAATGGTTGCAGGGGTTTTAGGGATATTCGGGATGGCTGGAACGTACAATCTTCTGTTCATATATATAGCGGAGCTGTTTCCTACAGTGGTAAGGAACGCGGCATTGGGTTGCGCGACTCAGGCGGCTCAAATGGGAGCGATTCTGGCGCCTTTTGTGGTGGTTTTAGGGGATGAGTTACCGTTTGGGGTGTTTGCTGTTTGCGGGTTAGTGGGAGGTGGGCTTGCGTTTTACTTGCCGGAGACGTTAAACAAGCCGCTGTATGATACAATGTTTGGGATGCACGAAGCTGAGACTAACAGAGGCAGAGGAGATGTAGTGTGTTAAAGAAAACAGAATCCTACAACATTTAGACATGGAAACACAAATAAAGTTCTTAGGGATAGGTGTTTTAAAATGTCAAATTGTTTTGTACGTGCTTTCTTGTGTTGTGATTTTGCATTGAGGTTTTGGGTTTCTAATGGTGAAGGCGTTTATAACAAAATTAACATTGATTTATAGTGCACATTCATGGTTTTGATTTGTGATAAAAAGAAAAAACAAATGCTTAACACTAATATAGATATGACCAATCACGTTTGCCAAAGAAAAATAATAATAATGGATCGAGGTGAAAGATTTAATAACTTTGTTTTTTTTTCTGACCAATCAAGATTGAAGTCTCTGTTTTATTAGTTTCTATCTATTTCTGTTTTATATTTTTTATCACTAAAAACGTGATTTGTCAAAAATTATGTGTATGTCAATGTTAATTTTGAGTTTTCGATATTAATTTTATTTCGCGTCAGATCTAACATCAGGGTTCCATGGCCCAATGGATAAGGCGCTGGTCTACGAAACCAGAGATTCTGGGTTCGATCCCCAGTGGAATCGTGTTTGCTGTATATTGTACCCTTTTTTAATTTTTGTTTCCGGCCAAAATATTTTGTCACATCAGAAGAGCGGCATGAAACAAGCCGCAGCCGCATAACTGAATTGGGGCTTTTCTATGAACCACCACCAATAGATTCATTTAAACTACTATTGCGTTGCTCTGCCGAAGAAAAACATAAGGGCGAATCCGAGGCTGACGAGATTTCAAACATCTTTCTCCTTTTTTTTGTTTGTCTTGTCTTAATTGGGGTTGTTATCATTGAAGAACATCAAAGTGCTGCAGATTGAGACATTCGTAATCCAACAAACGGGCTTACTAGCTACTTTATTTGTTATGAAACGAGGATTCTCTGATTCTCCTTCAAGCTCTGGTCCTCCTCCTTCATCCAGATTCAAATCCAATCCCGAAGGTTTCGTTTCCCTCTCTTCCTGCTCTATATCTTACATGGGTTCTTCGTGTTCTGTTCATTGGATTTGAGTTGTATGATAGTTTTTTGATTCCTTGCTAGTTTCTTCTTTGGACCTGACAGTTGGTTTTGCTAGCCCGTTGGATAAAGTTTCGTTCTTTACAGTTTTTATCATACTTTTCATTCCTCTTTTTCTCCTGATAATGTTAAGCTGTGTTTTTGGATTGTTTGCTGCTGTCTTGTTCGAGTTTTAGTTTAAGCTTTCACTTGGATTCTTATGATTGTATTGCTTTAAGTCAGTTTCTTTAAGCTACAGTTTTGCCAAATTGACTATGATTGTAAAGCTTAAATTCATATTCTTTCAGGTGATATCCAGTTTTTGGGAGATGAGACAACTAAGAATTTTGCCCGGAAAGTTGCTGATCATTACAGTCGGAGAACAAACCAAACATTGGAAGAGCGAGAAGCTAGTCCAATCATTCATTTGAAGAAACTTAACAACTGGGTTGGTTTTTCATTATCACTTTCTCTCCGAGAAACATCTTGTATTAATTTGTTGTTCCTTTTCTTATTCTTTCAAACAGATTAAAAGTGTGTTGATCCAGCTTTATGCTCGTCCTGACGATGCTGTCCTGGATCTTGCCTGTGGAAAGGTTCCTGCCTTTAAAATTATCTTATTGTTCTTGTCATTTTTTTTTTCTCAAAACTTTTCCCAATGTATTGCTTTGAAATCTACCAGGGTGGTGATTTGATCAAGTGGGACAAAGCAAGGATCGGGTACTATGTTGGAATCGATATTGCTGAAGGGTCGGTAAGTTGACTAGCTTAATAGTAGCTGTATCTTCTTGCATATTTTTGTAACTCCATATTTGAGAATTTCTTCTACGTTGCGCTCGATAACAGATTGAAGATTGTCGTACTCGTTATAATGGTGATGCAGACCATCATCAACGGCGTAAAAAGTTCAGTTTTCCGTCCCGCTTATTATGTGGAGATTGTTTTGAGGTATAATGAGAAAAGCTCCTCCACTAGTTCAGGGATCTCGATTAAGATGCAAATTTATTGGCATGATATTACCAGATGCAGATGCAACAACAAACTCATTTGTTTTATGATTTGTAAATCCTAATAGTGGAATTGCTTTTCAATGATTACAGGTAGAGCTAGACAAGATTCTGGAAGAGGATGCCCCTTTTGATATCTGCAGTTGCCAGGTTTTATATATATTATAATCGCCGTTTTGTTTCCAAATTACTTTTTTCGCTCAAGGTTGAACTATTTCAGATAACATATTGGGTTTTACTAGTCACAAGTATCTGCTTCACTTTTATATCTAGGTTGTGCCATAATTAGTTATTTCCACTGGTATTTTGAAGTAATAGCGTTTGGTGAAATAAGGTTAATGGTGTAGTTATTATAGATTCTAAAATTACCAAATCCTTGCTTAATTGTAGTTTGCTATGCATTACTCATGGACTACTGAGGCACGTGCACGTCGAGCTTTGGCAAATGTTTCAGCTTTACTTCGTCCTGGAGGTGTCTTTATCGGAACAATGCCAGATGCCAATGTTATTATAAAAAAACTCAGAGAAGGTTCTTTTTCTTTTCCTTAGTTGAATTTGATCTGTGAGCTAAGAAAAATTGAGTTCTGCTGTACTGCTTCAAACTGAATCTCCATAGTGCTATTTGACCTATTTTGAATTACACGTCATAAATTTCTTATAGAATGCTAGTTTTTCTTCAGTACTTCTAGGTTTTGGTAAATTAAACTAGTCTTTACCGAATATGCAGCTGAAGGTTTGGAGATTGGTAATAGTGTATACTGGATTCGTTTTGGTGAAGAGTATTCCCAAAAGGTGATTGTTCACTGTCCATAGCTTTATCTTTATCAACGTTTACCATGAGGTTCCTCTCTCTGTTCCTATTCTGATGTTAATATTTGTTATATATGGTTCAGAAGTTTAAATCTAGCAGCCCCTTTGGTATCGAATACGTGTTTCATCTTGAGGTACTTAATTTATCTACAGTTTTCTAGAGTTATTGACTTAGTCTACCTTAGAAACTAAAGTATTTTAAAAGAAGCTTTAGAGGTGTAGCTTTAGAGGTGTAAATTAATTATACAACACGGGGAGCAATTAGATGGAGGTTTTCCATAAACTTCCCCGTCATTTTAGCTGTATTAAATAAATGTGACATAGGAACTTGTAATGTAGGATGCTGTTGATTGCCCTGAATGGATTGTACCCTTTAACGTCTTCAAGTCTTTAGCAGAAGAGGTAAGTGCTTGATCCCTTGTTAACTTCAAAACTTTCTAATTGCCAAATCACTGATGTATATTTGTGAGAGTGACATTGCCCCATGAACTTTTGGATAGTATGATTTAGAGTTGGTATTTGTGAAGAACTCCCACGAGTTTGTCCATGAGTATATGAAAAAGCCAGAGTTTGTGGAACTCATGAGACGGCTTGGTGCTTTGGGTGATGGTAACAATGATCAGAGTAAGTCTTTGTTCGATGCTTGCTTCATATCATCCGTTTTGATTCTAATCAAGTGCATAATATAAATAACTCGACCAATCTTTTTTCAGGCACATTATCAGCTGATGAATGGGAAGCTGCATATCTATACCTCTCCTTTGTCTTGAGGAAGGTTTGTCTTCGTTTAACTCTTTTGATTTTCTCATTTCCTGCTTCATAGGTTATGTTTTCTAAATGGTGGGGTTTTACAGAGGGGAGAATCAGATGGAGCTCGAAGGAGTGGGCGGAGGAAGAATGGGAAAATGAACTTATCGAAAGACGATGTTTTGTATATCGATAACTGAAATGTGAAATACTGTTCCAATACACACCAGTGTCTCAAGTCTCTGTTTTGGTCTCACTTTGTTCTCATATGCTGTTGGCCAATTTGACCTGAGAGATTGGTTAACATTAGAAAATCTGCTCCCTCCCTTCACAAAGACAGAAGATTACAAGAGGCCTAATAATACGATAGTTGTTGAACACTTGTGTCTTTCAAGTGTGTAGGCTTTAATATACCATCAGGATGATGAACATGATAGCCATGATTTGTATTATGATGTATTTGCAGCTTACTTTGTTTACCAAGGTCGATGACTTTTTTTTTTCTTTGTACTATTATATTTTGAGAGTAGATCGACTTTGAACTCAAGAGGAAATTGAGAAAGATTCAAGCTTTTGTTATGTTACTCTTTTGCTTACGATCTCACTTTGTATATCTTTGAACTCTCTCTCGTGTGTAAAAAATTACACAAGATAATAAAAGACATAAGATTTACTAGTTTATATGTTTGTACCACACACTCTTTGCATAGAACAAGGACAAGAAAATGTTTCTACTGTGAGCCCAAACAACTGAGAGTACAAACAAAACTTAATCACGACTTGTTGTCTTTTTTTCCTCTCCTTATCACAATGTTCATTAATTGCAGAAGGAAACGCCGCATTTTTCAGACTTCAAAGCATGTTCTTTCCATACAAAGATCTCGAGTGTACTTCTTGATCAGAAGACAGAAACACATTCGATCATGTGACTTTGTTTGGTTCTTTTTTCTTGTGTGGAGCTTTCTATTTTGCTCAGTATCTTTGCTTTCAATATCGAACCCTCTTATTGAACTAGTGTGTCTTCTTCTTTGCAAAGTTTAGTAGTGTCTAACCAATTCTCAAAATATATATTTGCAGATTAGAAAAAGCTAAATAAAAAATCTGTTAAAAGCTGAACAATATCACAAATGGCTATTTCTTAAAAATACAAAAAGACGTTTGTCGGTTCGAAGAAAAAAGAGGTTAACCAAGAAGAACCTAAAAGATCAAAACACATCTGCCTAACTTAATAATGAGAGTAATTATACAAGAAAACGTTTAAATTGTATTAATTATTGCATACTAATTAGTTCACAACTTCACATATTTCTTTCAAAACTTGTAAATATGACCCATTTTAACAATTACTAATTAATACTTTTAAACTAATAGTAGATTAGTCGTATGTCGTTTCAATATTTGGACCAATCATATAACACCGACAACATCATTTGGCTTGTATCGGTCTCACTAACAATAACATCGTTTATCATGTTGCAAGCATCCCAAGTCTAATAACAAAAATTCTTTTTGGTACGAAAAAGCTAAATATCTCTCTAGGCGTAGGCAAACAATATTACTTTTTATAATGTTTATAGGTTAATCATTATGTGATAAT